TGTTGGCACCCATTGACTTCCATACAATTTTTTTCCTTCTATAGAAGCTAATGAAACTCTCGGATGAACCCGCATAACTGAACATGCATGTGTGTTGGCCTATAATGTTTGAGTTTCTTCTGTTGAACACAGAAAGAAGATGTTTTGAAGAATGTTGGTTGCTGGCACCCATTGACTTCCATAGTACATTTTTTTCTTTTTTGCAAGCTAATGGGACACCAACATAGACCCGCAGAACTGAACATGCATGTGTGTTCGCCTATAATGTTTGAGTTTCTTTCTTCTGTTTAACACAAAAAGAAGATACTTTGAAAAATGTTGGATGCTGGCATCCATTGACTTCCATAGTATATATTTTTCTTCTATGGAAGCTAATGGAACACTAGGATGAACCCGCAGAACTGAATATGCATGTGAGTTCGCCTATAATGTTTGAGTTTCTTCTGTTGAACACAGAAAGAAGATCTTTTGAAGAATGTTGGTTGCTGGCACCCATTGACTTCCATAGTATATTTTTTTCTCTTTTGCAAGCTAATGGGACATAATTAGAGCTAATGAACATAATAAGAAGATATTTCGAAGAATGTTGGTTGTTGGCACCCATTGACTTCCATAGTATTTTTTAGGACACCAGGATGAACCCGCAGAACTGAACGTGCATGTGTGTTTGCCTAAAATGTTTGAGTTTCTCTCTTCTTTTGAACACAGATAGAAGATGTTTTGAAGAATGTTGTTTGCTGGCACCCATTGACTTCCATAGTATTTTTATTTTCTTTTTTGCAAGCTAATGGGACACCAGCATGAACCGGCAGAACTGAAAATGCATGTGAGTTCGCCTATAGAGTTTGAGTTTCTTTCTTCTTTTGAACACAATAAGAAGATATTTTGAAGAATGTTGCTTTCTGGCACCCAATGACTTCCATAGTATTTTTTCCTTTTACGGAAGCAAATAGGACTCTAGCATGAACACAAAAAAACAACATGCATGCGAGTTTGCCTATAATGTTTGAGTTTCTTTTGTTTACCACAATAAGAAAATCTTTTAAAGAATGTTGGTTGTTGGCACCCATTGCCTTCCATTGTATTTTTTTCTGCTATGGAAGCTAATAGGACACCAGCTTGAACTGGCAGAACTGAACATGCATGTGTGTTTGCTTATAATGTTTGAGTTGAGTAAAGATGTTTTGTAGAATGTTGGTTGCTGGCACCCATTGACACCTGTAATGCTAATGTTTGGAGTATTTATTTCATGTTTTTGTAAATAATAGACTTAAAATTATTTAAAGGGACAGTTCACTCAAAACTCAAAGTTCTGTTTTTATTGACTCATCCGTCAAAATCAAAAACACAAAAGAAGATATTTTGAAGAATGTTGGATGCTGGCACCCATTAACTTCCATAGTAGATTTTGTCCTTCTGTGGAGGTCGATGGGACGAAAGGCATTCTTCAAAATATCTTCTTTTGTGTTCAACTGAAAAAAAGAAACTCAAAGCTATAAAATCACATGAGAGAGTAAATGATGAGGTGATTTTCATTATTGGGTGAATTATTATTATCTCTTTAATTTATGTTTTAAATATATGTCTGTAGTTCTTGCTGATGATGGTTCTCTGTTGTAAATAGTCATATTTTTTGAATACAGTGGAGCTGGTTAATTAAGGAAAAGTTCAACTTTTTTTTTTTTTTTATTCATGACTTTAATAAATGGGTCTTTAAAATGTCCTCTGTTTTTCCGATTAAACTAAAGACAATAAACAGTTAAAAACATGCAACTCTAGTGGTCTTTTGACATGAGTAATAATAAATACATTTATTAAAGGGGTGACACGGTGGCACAGTGGTTAGCACTGTCGCCTCACAGCAGGAAGGTCTCTGATTCGAGTCCTGGCTGGGTCAGTTGGCATTTCTATGTGGAGTTTGCAAGTTCTCCCCGTGTTGGTGTGGGTTTCCTCTGGGTGCTCCGGTTTCCCCCACAGTCCAAAGACATGCGCTATAGGTGAACTGAATAAGCTAAATTGGCGGTAGTGGATGTGTTTCCCATTACTGGGTTGCAGCTGGAAGGGCATCCGCTGTGTAAAACATGCTGGATAAGTTGTCTGTTCATTCCGCTGTGACGACCCCTGATAAATAAAGAGACTAAGCCGAAGGAAAATTAATGCATACATTGATTGATTGCTTGATTGATTAACTCATAGATTAATTAATTAATTAAAGAACAAATAAATGATTTCATCAAAAATATTTTTTTAATAAACTCTATATTCAGTTTAACTATTGTTGTACTATGATACTGAACCATTGTTTTAGTATTATTAAGGTTTCAGATCAGTATATTTTCGTTTTAATTTGTCAAAGTTTTACTTAATTTTGTTGTGTTTTTGCTATTTTATTTTAATCAGTTTTTGTTTTATTATAAATTTTATTTATTACATTTGACATTTTATTATTTGTATATTCTTTTATGTTTTCATTAATTCAGCACTACTTACTACTGATGTGACATTGTGCACAGAGGCTTTGAAGCATGTATTAATAAAACGATACATCTCGCAGTGAAGCAGTGGACCGGAGCTTGATTCGTTTTGCCATTATCACGTGATCAGTGACGTCTGAAGCTTAATTTTCGCTTATACCCACGTGACTGCTTAGAATTTTGATTCAAAGGTTTAAACACCCTCATGAGTATTGTGTGTAACGGAAAGGCCAGCTGGCGAGTGCAGCCCAAAAGCATCACTTCCATAGCCTCCTCCTTAGAGCATTCGCCTCCCATGCAGGAATCACCGGTTCGATCCCTGCTTGGAACGAGTGGGTGGGTGAAGGACTAGTTGGAATACGATAAATGTAAATACTTTAGAAAACCATGCATTTTACTTGTCATCAGTGGTGTAATGCAACATAACTTATGTGTAATAAACTGCAGTAATTAAAAAGTTTTTTTATATTACTATTGTTGTATTACTACATGAAAGAGTTGGTCAGTTGTGAACATTTGACATTATTGCAACACAGTGCTTTCCCACACTTTAACCAGCAGAGGTCCTCTTCGGGCTCTGATTTAGAAAGCTTTGAGTAACGAACCTTTTTCCGATACAATTGAGTCGAGCGCTTCACTGGTTTAGAAAGCTTCATTTCACCATCACTACTAGTTACACAACTTTACAAATTTGCAACTAGCTAGTCCTAATGGCCCAGTAAAAGTGAAGGGGACACTATACTGTCAGTGGGCGCTGTCTTTCGGAAAAGACGTTAAACCGAGGTCCTGACTCTCTGTGATGATTAAAAATCATTGCACTTCTTGTTAAGGGTGGTAGTGTAACTTGGTTGTCTTGGCCAAATTTCCTCCATCGGCCCTTACCCATCATGGCCTCCCAATCATCCCCATCATCCGAATTGGCTTTATCACTGTTGAGAAGGTTTGTGTTCCAAAACTCCAAACTTAAGTGTCACACCCCTGTTCAGATTATGGTTCACTCCAATCTCCATTCACTCAATCTCTGGATAATCAGGACTGCCTCAAGCGCTTTATTAACTGCTCCTGATGGGGCAGCATGATGTTACCCTTCCTCTCGTAACATACCCTGACTCTGAACTGTGCAGTCGCCGTCAATGGCATCAAAGTCAAATCCTTTCTGATCGTTTTTAGGCTCATTTCATCAGAAATGACCTCCCCTCTCTTCAGTCCAGACAGAAGTGGCGCACTGACAGTCCTAACTTGCAGCCTAACACTGTTGTTCTTATTCTGGATCCCCAACTTCCCAGATCTCAGTGGCCAGTAGGAAAGGTAATCTCACTCCATCCCAGCAAGGATGGCCGTTGTAGGATTGCTGATGTTCAGGTTAGGACCGGATCTACACAAGGCCCACTGCCCGCCTGGTTCCTCTCCCGGCCTTACCTGATCCTCCGTAAACTGTCAAATATTGCATTACAAATTTGGGGGCGGCTGTTGAGAAGTTTTGTGTTCCTAAACTGCAAATTCAATAGTGTCATACCCCTGTTCAGATTATTGGTTCACTCCAATCTCAATACGCTCAATCTCTGGCCAATCAGGACTGCCTCAAGGGCTTTATTAACTGCACCTGTGCCCACAGTTTGCCATTTTCTGGCTGCACATGGCTGAACTGTGCAGAGGACTGAATTTGATTTACTTTGTTTACCTGGGTGTGCGTATTTAATCATGTAAGTGGCTTTTATGGAGTGACTAGACTGGACCTCTGTTCTTACCGACAGCACTACTGGCTTCGAGCTAGCTACCTAAACTCCCCCCTAACTTCTTTTCAATCAATGTCTCTTCACTCCACCAATAGCTGGTGTGTGGTGAGCGCATCACCGTTGTTGTCCTGTGGCTGCTGTCACATTTTCCAAGTGGATGCTGCAAAATAGTGGTTATTGTGAAGTGCTTTGGGTGTATGGTGTTGTAAAAAAAAATAAATGAGTGAAAAAGAAGAGAAGAACCCAGTCCAGGAGACTCGAAACAAGCAGAATTCCTTTATTGAGATGTGTTGGTTGATCTGCAGTCATACAGCGTCTTTAAAATGTCCATGTGTCCGCAGAGCCTACTGGAGGTCTGCAATCTGCAAGTTCTATCAAGTCTCGCACAAGTCTGAATTAAGACAAAGATTTCGTGTCTATATTGTGTTCTTAGGAGGAGGGAAGATGGTTAAAACAAAGCATGCAAATTCAGTATTGGAGTCAGCATGATACTGGCATAGAGGTTAATAACCGGCCCAGCTACTGACCACACAAGTTAATTAACAAAAGGTTTCTGTAGCATAAAAGCAACACCCGAAGACAAAGACAGAGTTGTTTAAAGCATTTGCATCACTGGCTTAGCCTGTAGTCAGAAAGACAAAGGTTAAATGTCCCTCCTAGCTGGGATGTTAATGAAATGATATAATTAAAAACCAAAGAATTTCAGTTATGCATAGATTATTGTTCATTTGGAATTAGATGATAGAAATGTATATTTCCACAATGGCCATACACAATAAATGCCCTATATAAATACACATTACATTAACATTTTAGTTTAGGTAATAAAAAAGAAAATGAAAAGTTTTTTTTTTTTTTTGTAACTACACTAGCCCTGGTACAAATCATCTCAGTGCAATTTGCTGAATGATCATGAAAACAACGCAAACAATCTTCATGCTCCTAAACATGATTTATTTTGTTTTTTGAGGTAAAGTAGATTTGAATATGTATAACATAATAATAAACAATAATCGCTAAACATTACTTTCTGAATAATGCTCCATTTTAAATAATTAAACAATAATTTGCCCTGTCGGTGCTATCTCTCTGGACTAAAGTAAACAGTGGAAGAATATTCCAAAATATTTTCAATTCATCTAAACTTACTTCAGTCAAACTGACAAAAGATATTACATAAAACCTGATTAACATGTTGAAATAAGTTAAAGTAACATTAAAACATTTGTTGTTGTGACCTTTTTCTTATAATTTTTACAGTGGCAAAAAGTATCAACTTGTGTGAGTGTGTGGTTTGACTGATTTACTTGTGAAACACTCTACGATTGTGGAGGTGAGAAGATGCGACGCCATCAGGAAGGCTGGGTAACAGAGCCTCGGAAATATCCAGACCAACACCAGTGGAGTTCTGCCAGTGAACAAAAACAAACAAACTGAATTTTCAATGAAGCATTTTAATGACATTTTTTATTCTGTGATCTACAGTCCAGAAGTTTGGAAAGACTGAAAAATTCAAATGAATGATACATGTCAAATTCCCTAACTTTCACTGACAGGCAACCCCTTTCAACTGATTGCCCAATTGCACAGCCTTAAGAGCGTGCATATCATGAATGCTGGGAATCTACTGCACCTACTGGTAACTTGTTTGCCATTTATCAATTAAAAAATTTACTAAAAACCTGCATTATTCTGGTTGGTCACGTTGTACAGCTATTATTTTACACAATACTGTACATTTAAACAAAATCTGATTCATTTACAGCATTTAAACAAAACATTTAATTTCAGTCAGCTTTTAACTATAAAATAAACAAACAAAGGGTTACAATAAATTTGAATTGATAATCTTGAAACCATCCCCATCATTCTCTCTCTCTTTTCAGACAAGGTGGCGGGACAAATCAAAGGTTACCATAGCGTCAACTTGGAATTATACGGTTCTATTTGCGTTCTGAATGATTTTGAGATATTGAGCTTCAAAGTTTTTGCATTCCATATAGCAAACAGTATGTGTGAAGCACTTCTCTTTACATTAACATGACAGAGACTCTTAGTGTTCTCTAAACGGAAGTTATCAAAGTTCTCCTAAGTTTACAAATTGGAGTAAAAACACCACGGTAAATGCAGATAGAACCTTTTAATTCTAAAAAAAGTCCTTTTCCACTTGGAATTAAAAGGTTCTGTCTGGCAGATCATTCATTGAAGCATTACTTTTCAAGGAATACAATAAAATATAAATATATCATTTGGTGTTGTAACAATATGTTGATGCTTGAGAAAGTTACAGTTTTGCTTTCTATAACATTTATTTCATGTTTTAGGATGAATATTTTTTCTTGTTCAAATAAGGCACACAAGGCTGTGCTAAATATTTTATCCAGTGTAGATGTTAATTTTATCTAATTAATATGGTAATATTTATACAATTTTATGCCTAATATGAATTTTTGAAATATATTTATGACATTATTTGCCCCATGAATTAAATTAAGTATTCACCCTTTAAAGCTTAATATCAAATTTAAAGACTTTAAAAGAAAACAGACACTGAGCAAGTGAGTTTAATAAACTCTGAAAAATGTTTCCCGGACTATATAATGTAAAATGTACCACTTAATCGCAATATCAAGAAATGCTTCACATGTAAAAACATGTCAATTTTGTGTGGTGCGGCATTATTTAGTCGACTCTGATATTGTGTGATTTTGCCTTTCTGGTGTTTCCTGCTGTCAATGGAGAAGTCCGGCGAAATGACCAAGAAAGCTGATCCTGAATGGTCCTCGTGTATGCATTCAAAATGCTGATTGGCTCACAGAAAGAACCTTATAGAGCCAAGATAGAGTTCAACTTTGTAGATAAAACTTTTTAGTTTTTTTAAAATAAAAAGTCTTAAAATGTAAAAAAACTTGTATAGTTTTATTTATTTTTTATTTTTTATTTTTTTTTTTTACCTATTTTTGTATTTATGGTAGTGAACCATTGTTTAAATATGACTCAGATTCAGGTTTATTTGTTTTTCCTTTGTTATAAAATGTATTTTTGTTTTAATGTTAGTCAAAATTGTATTTAATTTTGTTGGGTGTTTTTTTTTTTTTTTTGCTATTTTTATTGGTTTCATTATTTTTTATTTTAAGATTACTTATTTTAAAATTACATAATTTCAGTACTAGTCACACAACTTGAAAACTCAATTATTCATTCATTCATTTTCTTTTTTCGGCGTAGTCCCTTTATTAACCTAGGGTCGCCACAGCGGAATGAACCACCAACTTATCCAGCATGTTTTACACAGAGGATGCCCTTCCAGTACACAACCATACACACTAATCCACAGTCATACACTACAGACAGTTTAGCCTACTCAACTTCATCTGTACCGACTGTGGGGGGAAACCGGAGCACTCAGAGGAAACCTACGCAAATGCAGGGAGAACATGCAAACTCCACACAGAAACACCAACTGACCCAGCTAAGGCTCAAACCAGCGACCTTCTTGCTGTGAGGCGAAAAGTATTACCTACTGTGCCACTGCGTCAACATTATTATTATGATTATTATTATTTTACTCTATTCCACTTAACATTTTAGTTTAAGTAATGAATCATTTCAGTGCACAATGTAATCCCTTTAAATGAGTCCTACTCACTGTTTTAGGTCTGTCCAGAGGCGTCCAAGTCTCTCTCCATACAGCATCAGCACTGAACTCCTCCAGCGGGTTTATAAAGCTCATGCTTGTGGAAGACATCACTGAGCTGTTTCTGAGCAATCCTGCAACACAACAACACACACAGGTGGGGAAAAAAAATCAAGCTTAGAAACAAAAACACACCAGAAAGTGACTGACTTACCTGCTGATGCATTTCTTAAACGTAGCCTTCTTGATGAAGAACTCTGTCGTCCTGAAGCATAAAAAAAAGCAAGTCAGTATGAAGAAAACGCTTCCTAAATACAAGCAGATAATATAAAGCAGTACTGTGAGCACCTGAAGGAACAGTGGATTTACACTGCAGCGCTGCCTCGTAATTCTTGATCTGATTGTGGAGTTTGTCCACATGCTGGAAGGCTTCGAGCTTCAGGCTTCGCTCCTGATGAAGTTGACCTCTCACCTTCACAATACAGAAGCATTTACACTGGATTATTAGTGTATATATATAATGATTTTACAATGTTTCTACTACATATTTAAACAATAGTTTTAATAACACATTTCTAATAAACAATATTGTCTTTGCCATGATAAAGTGCAATTTAAAGGCTTAACTAGGTTAATTAGGTAAGTTGGGGTAATTAGGCAAGTCAATATCCTAGATAGCAAAGAATTCTGGTCCAGATCTGTCATCAATCTGGCAGAACAGGCATTCATCCGGCACTGGCATACAGCTTGTGGGCCAAACATGGCCCTGGTTTGGCAGAGGTGACACAGCCTTTAAGGCGGCACACAATACTTGGGCCAGATGTAAAATGTAGTATTTGGCTCAAATGTTTCACTGTAAAAAGTGAAAACTTAAACAAATTAATTTGACTTGTTACAATTAAATTAATTTGTGTAAAAGAAACACTTAAACACATGCATTTGGTTGTCTATTGTAATTGTGATGTTCTTGTCAAATAAATAAATTAATTAAATTAATTAAATTTGACGAACTTAATCCATGACAGTTTTCAGTAATACACTGAAAACCCTAATAAGTTGACTGAACGAAATTAATTGGGTAAACGTGTTGCCTCAAATTAATTGAGTAATGGAGTCTCCCAAAACTTGCATATTTAAGTTTATTTAACTTGCCGGTTTGGTAGATTATACTTAAATTGTTTAGTTCAGTGGCGTACTGTATGTGTGTAATTATATGCTATGAAAGAAAAAGTTTAAAAGAAAAATAAGTCGTCATTTATTGTCATTATGGTAAATAATTAAACATGAAGCCTTGTGTTCTGATTAAAAAAAACCTTGCACTAAAAGGTTGCACATATTAGAATTTTACAGTCAAGACTACATTAAAAAACAACCTATTTTTTTCAAAGGATTAATTGGGATATTTGAAATCTTAAGTTTATGCATTTTCATTGTATATAAGTTAAATTACCTCATATTTGTAGGTAACAGGCCCAAAATGCTACATTTTAAGTAATGTTCAGTCAACTCTACTTGATTGTTTATGTAAAGACAACATTAGGGTTTACAGTGTAGATTATTTTTAACTCTTTTAGGTGTAATACGTTAATAGTAAGTAATTTACTTAAAGTAATTTAAGTAATTTATTTAAAAATAGAAGAATGGAACAGTACATACAGTACAGTACAAATTATGCAATATATTAGTAATATGATAACACAGTTTTTCTTGATTGCTTTGATGCTGTCGTCAACTGGAACTCTATATTTTTAAAACAGTAAACACACAGGCCCAAACAACGGCACTCATTGTCAAAATTACATATTTTTATTCATTTTTTAAATATGTATTTCTCCTTTGCTGTTTCTTTTAATAATTTAATGGTGTTAATATATTACATACTTTATACATATCAAAAATGCTTTGACAATACTGTAAATGTCATTCCAATATAGCAACTTTAGAGAGAGAGAGAGAAAGAGAGAGAGAGAGAGAGAAAGAGAGAGAGAGAGAGAGAGAGAAAGAGAGAGAAAGAGAGAGAGAGAATTTTTGAATTTTCAACACGCCTTTAATAAACATTTTAAAGACGTTATACAATCAAATGTTACACATAAAAATTAAAAACAGCCTAATAAACCATAAACTCTAAATTTTCATCACAAATTTGACATAAAACTTTTTTGTGACACCAAATTTTTTCAAAACACATAAGATCACCCATTGTTTTGTAATACTGGAAATCAAATAAAATTCTGAATTTTACCAAGTTAAAAAATTTTTGTTTTTAAACAGCCACTTGAGTTTTGCTCAACTTGTACTTTTCTAGAGTCATAAATTGCCATTTTTGCTTGACCCAAAAGAAAATTTAATAACTGACAAAAAAAAAAAACGACGTTTACGTGTATACTTATAATCACAAATAAACGTTTCCATAGAAAATGTCTCGCCAAAATGAACAAACAAGTTAGTTAAGACCTGAAAAAAGATAACATAAAAGCATGATATAAGGTTTCACGTTGAGAACAAAAAGGACATTCATCACTATTACCTGGATTTATAATTGAAACAAACGCATTCACAGCTATGGCACCATGCAAGAGAGAGAGAGAGAGAGAGAGAGAGAGAGAGAGAAAGAGAGAGAGAGAGAGAGAGAGAGAGAGAGAGAGAGAGAGAGAGACCCTTTACCTGTCAGTGTGTGCACATGGCTCCTAAATATCATAAAAGTAAGAGAAATAGTGGATTTCTATTATTTCAACAGCCTTTTTAAAATAACTTTAACCCATTGAAAAAAAAAGGTGTATAACAGTGTCATAACAAATAAAAATCAAGTTAAAATCACATTATTTTTTGCACATTAATTTATGTGCCGTGGGAAAAGGGTGTTTTTCAATCCGGCTACCACTGCAGGTATATTTCAAACCTGTGGGAAGCCCTGCACACTGAGGGGATCTCACGAGGAAATGTAACTATTTAACATTTTGTCAGTTTAATGGCTATTTCATGCGAGTTCAGTCGTATGAAAATGTACCTTTTGAAATATGGTACATTGTTTTGACCGGTCCGGCCCACCTGAGAACAGATTTTACTCCATATGGCCCCTGAGCTAAAATTAGTTGTACACCGCTGCTCTATAGACATCAGAGACTTATTTTACATCTTGTATAAAGGTGCATAATAGGTCCAAAAGCTGAGAATTATTGAAGGTTTAGTTGTGTGTAATGCGTTGAGCTGAGACTGACTTGTCTGATGTGTCTGTGGCTGCGCTGCTGTCTGATCTGTGTGTCGTGGGTGTGTTTCTGAAGTTGTGCGCTCAGTGTCCTCAGCTGACTCTCTCGGTCCAGCACGTCCTCCTGCAGCGTCTCCACACTCTCCATCCTCAGAGTCTGCAGCTCCTGACGGCTCTGAGCATCTCGAGCTGAGCGATGCTCAATGTCCTGCAGCTTCTGACTCTGACAGGGAAGCAAATCACACGTGTTACCAAAGTCCCTTTAAGGCGAGTCATTTCACTCTTTGAAACTCGTCTCAGGCAGTACGCTCAGGCATTCTGTTTGAATAGCAAAACATCAAATTCTGCAACATTGCTTGCCAAGCTAACGATTAAATTTCATATTAGGGATCACCAATAAAATTAAAGAACAGCTGAATCTTTAGCTCATTTCTAAATGTTTAAATCACACAAAATCTGCAGAAACTCACATCAGGTACAAGCCACTGCCCCATAGAATCATCAGTCTATAGTGATTGCTGAATGGCTCCTATACTAGCAGGTGGAGCTGTGACGTCATGTGTGACGTAAGTTGGCAATTCGTCTATAGTCTTTGGTGTTAATGAAATATTATTACAGTTAAAGGATAACAATTTTCTATTGTTTTTATTTTATTCCTGTGATGCAAAACAACATTTTTAGCATTGTAAGTTCAGACTTGATCTTTCACTCTTATATTAACATTACATTTAATCACTTATCAGATGCTTTTTTTGCAAAGCGACTTACAATTGAGGAGGCATTCAGTGATTCAACAAGTTTTCAACTTCTGATTTTTAATGTCGAAAAGAATTTAGCAATTTTTTTAGTTGATCAATTTAGCAATGATCAAAAATACATTTGTATTTAGACCATTAAAGGGATAATTCACCCAAACATTAACATTTCCTCACATTTAAGTGGTTCTAAGCTTTTATGAATTTCTTTCTTCACAAAACAAGATATCCTGAAGAATGTTTGAAAAAATAAATGAACTAGCGGCTGACATCCAAAAACACTATAGCTGTTTTCTCAACACTCTTGATTATATCTTATAATATTATTTAAAAAATTGAAATATTGAATAATATTTATATTTACAAATATATATTTTTAACTCTCAGATTCCAGATGTTCAAATAGTTTTATCTCTGCCAAATATTGTCCTGTCAATGGACGAGCTTATACATTCAGCTCTATCAGGGTTATACAAACACTACCTGACAAAAGTCTTGTCGTCGATCTCAGTTGTAAGAGCAACAAATAATAACTTAACTTCTAGTGGATCATTTGGAAAAGTGTCAGAAGGTAGATTTATCCGATGAATCATCTGTTGAACTGCATCCCAATCATCACAAATACTGCAGACCTACTGGAACCTGAGTGGACCCAAGAGTCTCACAGAAATCAGTCAAGTTTGGTGAAGAATAAATCATGGTTTGGGGTTAATTCAGTATGGGGGTGTGCGAGAGATCGGCAGAGTGGATGGCAACATCAACTCCTTCTCATACTTCAGCCTTCACATCAAAGTTCCTGAAAGCAAAGAAGGCTCCAGGATTGGCCAGCCCAGTCACCAGACATGAACATTATTGAGCATGTCTGGGGTAAGATGAAGGAGGAGGCATTGAAGATGAATTCAAAGAATCTTGATGAACTCTGGGAGTCCTACAAGAACAATTTCTTTGCCATTCCAGATGACTTTATTAATAAGTGATTAGAGTCATTGCAGAGATGTATGGATGCAGTCCTCCAAGCTCATGATGGAGTCAGTCACAATATTAATTCTTCTTTCACTGCAGCATGACTTTATTTTCAATACTGGACATTATTTCTGCTGAGTGACGAGACTTTTGTCTAAGCAAAGTCAAACCTTACTGTCCTAATCAAATCATTAAAAATCAAGGCATGATCATATTTTATTTTGGTAAAAAAAGCATAATCTAGAGGCCTTTGCCTCTCATATAAGCCACTTCTGATACCAAGTGATCAACTATAAGTCAAGTTATTATTTGTTGCTCCTAAAACTTGGATAGGCAACAAGACTTTTATCAGGCAGTTTATATATTTCAAGTCTTTCTGATGGCCATGCTTTCGCATATGATAGATGTGCATACCTGCAGTGTGATCTGCTTCTGTATGTGTTCATATTCAGTCTGACACTGCAGCAGAGCCTCCTTCACTGCATCCAGCTCCTGTCTGGACACAATCTCCTTCTGCTCTGAGATCAGCTTCACTTTTACAGCTTCAGTTTTACAAGACGCCTCATTCTGGACACACAGAAGCAGCATTCATTCACAGTGGGGCTGCACGGTATTGGCTAATCTGACATTGCGATATATCGTTTTGCTGCAAACATGTATTGCGATGTTAGCAATTATTGCAAATGAAAAATTATTATTAACTGATGTCCCTTTAACACAGTGTTTCTCAACCACATTCCTGAAGAGCCACCAACACTGCATGTTTTGGATGTCTCCTGTGTCTGTCACATCCATAACAAGTCTCTGCAAATAAGCTGATGATCTGAATAAATTTGGTTGAGGAAACATGGAAAATGTCCTCCAGGAACGTGGTTGAGACTGATTTAACACGTGCACTTCATACCAGTCTCCAGTGCAGCAGCTCTTTCTGAAGTCTCTCTTGCTCTGTCAGCAGCTTCCAGCGGCTGAAGATTCTCAGTTTACACACCAGCGCAGCCAGCCTGCTGTTCTCCCCATCAAGATCCTCTAAAAGCTCTTTCTGAACCCAACCAAGACATAATAATGCAAGATAAACACCACGGAGAAAAGGTAAATGTGACATTTCACCCCAACAAGCCACATATTTTTTTTAAATTCCATTGTGGGTTTCTGCATTATAACAAAGCTCAATCCAGCCGCTTACCTGCTGAAGTGTGTGAATGAGACTCTGGTTATCATCAGCGGGTGATAATCTAGTTTTCAGTTTGATGATTCTGTCCACGCCTTCCTTCCTCACGCTGCTGATCAGCTGACGGACATCATGGTCCATTTTCTCATTATAACTGTCCAGACGTGCCTGTGAATAGCAGAAGGAGTCACACTAAATATATTATTTAAGTCATTTTATGCATAAACAATTGAACTTTTATGGCTTTATGCTGCGTCACAATTGGTATACTGTCTATCTTAGTTAGGATATAAAATGTGTCTGTATTGTTTGTTTGTTTAATATTGCCAAATCAGCAGCTTATTATGGCTATTTCATGGTGAAATCAATATAGATAAGAACCATGACTACATACATGTGTGTGTATATACTGTACACTACCTGACGAAAGTCTTGTCGCCTATCCAAGTTTTAATAATAATAACTTGGCTTCTAGTTGATCATTTGGTATGCAAAAGAGACAAAAAGACAAAAGTCTTGTCACTTAACAGAAATAATGTTCAGTACAGAATATAAAGTCATGCTGCAGTGGAAAAAGAATGAATATTGTGTCTGACTCCATCATGAGCTTGAAGGACTGCATCCATAATTCTCTGCAATGACTCAAATCACTTATTAATAAAGTCATCTGGAATGGTGAAGAAAGCGTTCTTGCAGGACTCCCAGAGCTCATCAAGATTCTTTGGATTCATCTTCAATGCCTCCTCCTTCATCTTACCCCAGACATGCTCAATAATGTTTAAGTTTGGGGACTGGGCTGGCCAATTCTGGAGCACCTTGACCTTCTTTGCTTTCAGAAACTTTGATGTGGAGGCTGAAGTATGAGAAGGAGCGCTATCCTGCTGGAGAATTTGCCCTCTTATGTGCTTTATTAATGTAATGGGCAGCACAAATGGAAAAATCTACCTTCTGCCACTTTGCTAAATGATCAACTAGAAGTTATTATTTGTTGCTCTTACAACTTGGATTGGAAACAATATATATAGCACAGACAACTTCATACTCTTCATCAATAAGAGACTATACAGAAAAAAAAAAAACTTTTTAATATACAATATTTTATCTAAGACATTATTATTTTTTATAACAATTTGCAAAAGGTACACAAATTGGGATCATACAAATATAAAGAAAATGAAGCATCAACAAAAAACAACAATACAGTCAGGTACTAGCAGGTGCCTATATGTGCGTGTGTATATTTGCGCGTGTGTGTGTGTGTGTGTGTGTGTGTCTGTGTGTCTGTGTATGTAAGGGGTCTTGGTGGACAGGTCAAAGTACACACATAAGGGACAACATTATGTATTATAATAATATTATATATTATATTAGAAACATCAAATGTGATTTTTCACATCGATATTTAATAAATAAGTTACAATTCTTTCTGAAGAGACATTTCTAAAAAACAGAATGGGAGTATTCATAAGACATTATAATCATTACACAACACTGAGATTTGGTAAAGTTTATTTATAAACTAATTTCAAGAGGATCACGTGATTCTGACTGATCACGGCTGGTTCTGCATTAGCTAAAGCATAATTCACCCATCATGCGATTCATAACTATATAAAGAGCCAGGGTTTCTTACTACAGTCATCTTCGTCTCGAAGAATACCCCCTTCCACCCCTACTTCTCCATCTTTCCCTTCATAGGGTGGCACGGTGGCCCAGTGATTAACACTGTTGCCTCACAGCAAGAAACGTCAAGGGTTCTAGCCCTTAACAGACCGGCTGTCGCTTCTGTGCCAAGTTTGCATGTTCTTCCCATGCTCGCGTGGGTTTCCCCAAGGTTCTCTGGTTTCCTCCCACATACCAAAAATTAGCATCATGAGCAGGGCCAGACGGAACCTGCAGATTTCTTTTGCTATTTTTGCGGAGAATTTTGGTAAAAATCTGCAGATTTTTGTGGAATTATTTTGGAAGTATCATAACTGAAACCTTAATATGTGAAATAAAAAATAATATCTTTTAAACTTTTATTTATTGTTTAAAATGCACATCCAAATCGATTCACTTATTTGGTAAACAAAGCAAGTCTCTCATATAATATACCAACTAAAAGACAGAAAATATTACTGTACACATTACTGTGCATTTTACATAAATCAGATGAACATTTTCATATTAATCAATAATATTACTGTACTTAATTTAAAATCTGAATGAATATAGATTTATGTCATGACTGTCAGTGACCACCTGAGGGCGCTGTAGTTCAACGGACTCAGTGTATGAACTACAGCGCCCAAAAAGACTACAACTCCATACATACCACGCGCATACACTGGAACACATACACTGATTGAAACGCATGTGACTGACGAAGAACGATTCACAGCTGTCTCCGTTTCTTTTGATAATCCGGACTATATATTCTATCATCCCACCACTGTTTGATCGCGTCGTTCTGTCACGTTTAGCGTGATCAAAACAGAAACAAAAACGGGAACAAAAGATAGCGGATCCAAGTGCAGATTTTAATAGATATATAGTGCAGTATAGTGACAAAAAATCCAAAAATCCAAAATGCAAAGGAGCAAAATAACAAACAAACAACAAAACAAGAAACTAAGACAGATTAACACGAACTAGACTTTAGCAGGATGCAAGAACAAGATCAGAAACAACAACTCGGAATATCAGACTTACTATAAACAGGAGACAAAAAAGACAAACGACCCCATGACAAACAGTGGTGGAATGATAGAATATATAGTCCAGATTATCAACAGAAACGGAGACAGCTGTGAATACAATCAGTGTATGTGTTCCGGTGTATGCGCGTGGTATGTATGGATTTGTAGTCCTTTTGGGCGCTGTAGTTCCAACTCAGTGTACATTGAACTACAGCGCCCTCAGGTGGTCACTGATAGTCATAACATTTTTTACACATTTATTCAAGTAAATAAACAGAATCAATGATGGACTAAAAATCTGCGGAAATCTGCGGAATTCTGCGCACGCAGATTCCTTGTGGGCCTACTCATAAGTGAATCGATTAATCTGAACTTAGCACTATAGTCAAACTCTTATCCAGCAGGATATTTCTTCAAAGCAATTATATTCTGCCATCAGCTCTTATCAAAAAGTGGGAGTTCTCGTCAGGGCCGGAGTGGGACTCTTTTTCAGCCCTGGAGTTTCAAGCCTTAGACCGGCCCACCTCAGTTCACCACTGACTATATTAAAATAAGGTTATTTCCAATTCAGTTTCTAATTACACTATCACGTCTATTTTTGAGAAAACAGCACTTTTAGAACTTCAAATGTTCAACAACCCTTACAGTATTATGTCTTAACAATAAAAATGAAAAAAAAAAATTTGTTACTTCGACAAGGACCGAACCCAGGTTGGCCTCGTCATAATCTAACGTACTAACCACTGTACCACAACAGCTGTACGTTGAATGGTGACTTATCTACTTATATCATCATTAACCTGCATCCTGCTCACAAGGCTACGAGAAAATAGATTAAAAAGAGCAGAGCTGTGGTAAAATAATGAATAAGAAGGCTGTGGTCAAGTAAATAAATAAATTATTTTTAAAAAGTGTGACTGCTGAGAGCAACCGATTCTGGAACTAGGGACACCGGCCCTCGCGGCCAAAAAACGGACCGGCCAACCGGGAATTCTCCCGGTCCTCCCGATTAGCCAATCCGGGCCTGGTTCTCGTGACCTACCTGAGCTCAAACTCCCCTCGCCTTACAAACAGGAGCGAGCCCAGGGCTCAAGAACCTTATGAGCTCAGGGCCCACTCCCGGGACAGCATGCCAAACTTGCTTCATAATCAATCATGAGCTAAGTGTGAACTCTTGAAATGCATGCACATGACAACTGTCATTAAATGCAAAGATTACAAGATTGTTTGAGATGTCGTTGTTATGAAAATCATAACCTGGGATTGAATGATTGTTAATTAAAATTACTAACCTGACAAGAAATATATTTAATTCATTTTATCCACATTACTCATTTCATCTACAACAATGATCAATTATTATAAAGACACGTTTGTGCATTAAATTTCAAATAACATGAAGATAATGATGACATAGTTTGTTCTGAAGTTTGACTACTCTTTTGTTACTCACTAAAAAGCATGTATCTTTCTTCACGATAAGAGCACATACATTTAGGGCATAGTATCAATGGTGAATTAGGATGCAGCATGTGTATTCAAAACACACCTTTAGAAGCAGACATGAGGAAAACAGCTGGCGAACCAGTGTGTCATATCGTTCTCTGTGTTTGAGGTTGAGGTGTTGATCCAAGTTTCTCTTTTCCTCTTCTAGTTGATTAACTTTTGCGCGCAAAGCTGTGATTTCAAGCATCATCCCTCGACACACATCTGACACCTGAGATTAGACAGGTTTATGAATGATTCAGTGAAGAAACATGCTGATATATGCAAAAAGCCGAGTTTACCTTTCTGTAAGGATCGCTGGACTGCAGGTTTTTGGCTTCCAGCTCTTTAACATCCTGCAGAAATAGATTGATCTCAGTTCAGAAAGATGCATCCGTATTGTTGCATCACTTTTAAAATATTTTAAACTGAACATATTAATAATATATAACTATTTTAAATTAAAATGACTTTGTGAATGTTTTTTAAACTATTATGTTTGATTTACCAAAGTCACACAAGTGCCAATTTCACATCTGTCACATCCACAACAGAAAGATGTCAAATCCATATTGAAGCTTTTTTGCTCATAAATGCAAAAATGTCAAATAAAATAAAATCAATCCGGTTTGTTCTACAAAGAGCAACTCTTATCCTTCTGATTAGCAATATTTCTTTTGGGTTGTGCAGTTTAATTCACAGAATTTCTACAAAATATGTTGTATACTGTAAACTTGCAGACTTTTTTGGTCACATCCATATAATGCATGTTTGTTTCCCTCATTTAAAATATTAAACATGTTTAGAGATTGATATTTTTCTGATCCTATAGCTCTGTGGTCATTTATTTTGGAAAATATGTCCATATACAGTTGAAGTCAGAATTATTAGCCCCCCTGAATTATTAGCGCCCCTGATTATTTTTTTCACCAAGTTCTGTTTAATGGAGGGAAGATTGTTTCAGCACATTTCTAAGCATAATAGTTTTAAAAACTTATTTCTAATAACTGTTTTATTTTATCTTAGACATGATGACAGTAAATAATATTTTACTTGATATTTTTCAAGACACTACTATACAGCTTAAAGTGATTAAAGGCTTCACTAGGTTAATAAGGTGAACTACGCAGGTTAGGGTAATTAGGCAAGTTATTGTATAACGATGGTTTGTTCTGTAGATTATCGAAAAAAATTAGCTTAAAGGGGCTAATAATTTTGTCCCAAAAATGTTTTTTTAAAAATTAATAACTGCTTTTATTCTAGCTGAAATATAACAAATAAGACTTTCTCCAGAAGAAAAAATATTATCAGACATACTTTGAAAATTTCCTTGCTTTGTTAAAAATAATTTTGCTAATAATTCTGACTTCAACTGTACTTGCGAATTTTTGTATTGAGTTTTTACTAAAAATGTCACATCCATAATGCTGGAATTGCTCAGTCTCATTAGTTTATTGTATCCGATTGTATTGTATCTTTTATTTAATGACATGTCAGCATCATTGCCTACCTTCATAGTAAAAACAATCATATAGTAATACAAATATAATGTAAATATAACCATATCTGTCAAGTCTACTGTATTTCAGACCAATCTCCCCCCACCCTCCTGTTTTGTTATTTCTCCCAGAAAAATCCCATAAGTTCAAAACCCCACCCCTCCGCCCCTCAGACCTCAGCTTTTTGGTACTGTCTGTAACAACCCCGGGTCATCAACTTTGGTATAGTATACGATTGCAGCGGCAATCCAAAACCCGGTCCATAGTAGTTACTAACACCATAGTACAGTTACTAACCCGGTTTTCAGTTGTGTTATTCAGACACCTCACCCCCAAAATCCCCCCCGCCCACTCTTCCTGAATTTTTTTAGAGACAAATGTTGGCAGCTATGAATATAACAACGTTGTGGATGTTTCATACAAATGAAAATTATTAAACATCCACATGAACAAATGAATAACATTTATGTAGGAAATTGTGCATTAAAAGCCAGGTCTAGTTTGTTAATTAAAGTGATACTACTAAAGCTAAAAATAAATACTAAGAAAACAGAAGAGATGGTATTTGACCTAAAGCAGGGGTGGCCAACCCTGTTCCTGGAGAGCCACCTTCCTGCAGATTTCAGTTGCTACCCATATCAAACACACCTGAACCAAATAATTAGGACCTGAACACCACGTGATAATTACAGGCAGGTGTGTTTGATATGGGTAGCAACTGAAATCTGCAGGAAGGTGGCTCTCCAGGAACAAGGTCAGCCTCCCCTATTCTAGAACATTGTCTTGATTTTTATATTACTGAACAAGTCTTCAAGTGAACATAATTTACTTATATTTTATATTAACTTGTAATTTCTATCAGTCTTTTTAGTAAAAATGAGCTCTTCTCTTATTTAATTTACATTTAATTTATTATGTGAGGCTGCGTCCGAAACCGCCTACTACTCAGTAGGTACTGCATTTCAATTTAAACGTACTACTCGGCCATTAGAAAAGTACGTTCTATACAGTATGAATGTGAAAAGTATGAATGGAATTCGGACGTACTACATCCGCCATTTTGTCATGGTCACGTGACCTATATGTGTCAGTTGCGTCGCTTTACTTCCATTCATGAATTCGCTCGCGGGGCATCATGGGATAGCGCAGCATGCATGAGATGCGCACTCCGGAATCTCGCCGGAAGTAGTAAGTCATCCGGGTACTTCTCGCATACTGATTTTCGAATTCTATGAATTCGGACATACTACTCGGCTCGCATACTGATTTTGGCGTACTATATAGTATGGAATTTATTAAACGTAATTTGTATTTCATTTAACTATTTCAAAATCAAATTTTACACTTTTACTTTATATTATGATTTCATTTAATTGATTTTATTTAATATATATCTACACTGTAAAAAAAAAATTCTGATTGCCTTAAATTTTTAAACTTAATCAAATTAACATTATGAGGCCATTAAACTTTTATTATGTTAAACTGACTTAAAACAGCTTACATAACTTATAAAATTAAGTTAGAACATGATTAACTGAGTTTAATAAGTAAACTAAAAACATGTGTCGTCATGACTAACTGATATAATATTTTTACATGTTTTAAACTTTTCATTTTTGGGGTGAATTGTAAGATATTTTTAAACCATATAAGCAATGGACTTTACTATATTCAGCATGTATGCATTAAATTGAGCAAAACTGACAGAAAATGACATTTATTATGCAATGCTATTAGAAATAAATACTAAAGCGTATCATGGTTTTCACTAAAAAATTAGATAAGGAGCAATTCAGCATATTAGAATGATTTCTGAAAATCCACGTGAGATTGGACTGTCACATTTAAAAATTACATTTTAAATATAGTGCTCAACATTTATGAGTTTACGCCTTACAAATCTCTCATTTAAATTAATATTTTCTTTTCAAAATTATATTTGTGCATATACATAGTTTAGCCAGTACCAAAGCCAAATCTGGAGCTATTCTAACAAAATAACTTATATCAGTCGAAAACTAGTACACCTAAATTTATATGTTAGGGAAAAATAAATATATATAAAAAAGAACAAAATCAAGAGAAACAAAAAATGTATAAAATTTTGCTGAAATTTTGTAGTTTTTCAATTTTTTCAATATTTAACACGAATTTAACTATATCAACTTTCTATTTCAAAAGATGTTCGTTGATTAAAATATTGTTTTAATAAGTATTCCTGTTTAATAAATCTGTTTTGTTTAAATGCACCAAAATATATGGCCTATATTCACTGAGAAATGGATAAAAATAATCATTTTTAAAATTAGGTGTAGTCATTTATGTTGAGCACTGTATATTCATATTCACTGTATATTCAAACAGAAAGCACATCAGTTTCCAGTATTACTGATGAAATAAATGCATGTTTAGGTGATGTACCTGCTCTCTCTGGTAAAGCAGTTGCTCCTGCTGTTGAAGGATGTGCTCATAAAACTGCGAATACCGCTGGAAGACGCTTTTCTCACGATTCATTACAGCACAGGACAGCTCAGTCAAACAATCTTGCAGATGAGCAGTGGAGAACGTCACCTAGAAAATACTCAAATTATTCATTACATACCAATATATATTCACAATACATATGTAAAATTCAATCCTTTTTCTTTAGCTTAGTCTCTGATTTATCAGAGGTCCCCACAGCTGAATGAACCACCAACGATTCCAGCATATGTTTTATGCTGTGGATGCCATTCTATACATAAATAGGAAAAGTGTACACAAACGTCAAACAGCCCAAAACTGTAAAACTGATATTTGTATGAAAAGCAGTTTTTGCCTATAGAGGGAACTGTTCACCTGTCCATCAGTCTGTCTCTCCTCAGCGCTCATCAGTCTCTGGATAAAATCCTCCACAATCTGCGGTCTCTCTAAAGATACGCTGTGTTTCGCTGATGGTCTTTTCCACAGATCTTTATCACATGTGAAAACACCAAACAAGACTGAGATGAACAAACCAATCTAGAAAGGACTGTTGTTATCTGTCCAAATATACAGTTGCAGTCATAATTGCTAACCCTCGTGTTAAATTTGAATTATTTTATATACTTTTACCTTAATTTCTGTTTGAAATTGCGCTCACCTAACCCCACCCCTCACAATGACAAAAGTATTGAATGCAGCTCAGACTGCACTGCATCCAGACTCGTCTCATCTCTTTCCACAACGATCTTTGGTACCTGCAGGGATCTGCATGTCGTGTCGCGAGCGCTCAGACATCACTAGAGTCATTTCAGTGTTAATCCTGTTCTGAAGCGCACGGATCATGTCAACCTCCGTCATCTCCAGGAGTCTCAGGAGCTACAACACACACCACAGACAAATTTCAGTCTGTTAGTGCATGTCAAGATAAATAATCACACTTGTAAACTTAAAATAGTCAGACCAGACATTTTAAACGTAAAATTTCTGCATATAAAGACTGCAGATGCTAAAATTTCAAATGAATATTGCTCAGATCTGCATCACTTATTTTGTTTCATAACCATAAAGTATACTGATTTGCTAATTAAAAGTAAATAAAAAAAATCAATAAAATTTTCTTATCAGGTTTACAAAAGTGTTAAATGTGTTATTTATAGGCTATCGCGCACACACACACACACACACACACACACACACACATATATATATATATATATATATATATATATATATATATATATGTATATATATATGTATATATATATATCTGATTGGCAGATGTATATTCTGCCAATAACAGCACTCGTCCAGCCTCTTCACCCTTGTGTATTACACTGCCCGCATAAAGTGACAAGCAGAGGACACAATACAGTTTGACAAATATTGCTGCTGTTATTATTCAATTCAACTGTTTATTGTCATGTGCACAGTAAGGAAACACGTTTCCCTGTACAATGAAATTCTTACTTTGCCGTCCACAGTGAAGTCATACACACAACATACAAATCATACACGACATACACATAAATACACATATATACATAGAAGTGACTGAAGTATGATTATAAAATGTAAGTATATAAATATCTATGAAAGTAAATATCTATGAAGGTTTTTTAATTGTGCTTATTATGCAAAAAGTGCCTAATGCAATTGGCTCATGTGCAAAAATAAAAGAAATAGTGCAAACTGGGATGGAGTAGTGTTGTACTGAGCAGAAAAAGAGACTGTTATGTGCATTGGTTATCTATGTTATGTGCATTGGTTATCTAACCAATTATTATTGCGATATCCCAATTGCAACAGAGAAATACTAGGAAATCTCAGTAAACTGATGGCATTGCATGCCGTTCAGCCTTATAATTTTAAAATGTCAGCAAAATCACCTGTTTTGTCATAACTTTAGACATTACGCTAGAGAATCGTTCAAATGCTGCCTCTAAAATGACGTTGGTAAATTTGTAATGGTTTCTGCTGTTCTGACTGTCAGCTGCAGATGTTAAAGAATGACGGAAGAAAGTAGTTCCTTTTATAAAAGGGTTTTAAGACTCTGAGTTAGATTTTTTTATACACACAATTATGCCGTCTAACACTCGTAGCATTGCGATGTGGCTGTGTATCGTCACTGGTGGGTGCACTAATGCACGCCTTCCACCTGTGCCGATATACAGCCACATCGCAATGCTACTTATGTGATAATGCTCATATATATATATATATAAATATATATATATATATATATATATATATATATATATATATATATATATATATATATATATATATATATATTATGATTAATAAAGGGACTAAGCCAAAAAGAAAATGAATGAACAATGACATTCATATTTTTAGATTTATGGTTGCTGATTTCAAAGAACTGTTGCTTAAATAACTGCTTATCCAATCCAAAACTACTCCTCGAATACCATAGCTTTCTAATCTATTTACCAATATATCAGGGTTTATTGTATCAAATGCCTTCTTTAAATCTATAAAAAATCCAACTACCTTTTCTTTATATGTTGTTGTTATAAACTTTTTTATTAATAATTTATTTTAATAGTGTTGTGCTTTTGTCATTTTTAATTATTATTCATTTTTAATAATAATAATAATAATAATAATAATAATATATTTAAAGCAAAACTATTTTGGTGTGATTTCTTTTTGATTGTATTTCCAGTTCTAGTGCAACTAAAAGATTAATTTCATATTTATAATGATTTGTTCAGCTGTTTGAAACTTTGAAAAAAATGCTGTATTTTCTCCTTTAAGGAATTAATATGCTGTCTATGTCGCGAAACGTCAACCGTCAATTTGATCTTTGGTCTGCTCAAACAGGCTGATGGCAGCTGATGCATTGAATCTGATGCCCTGAAATTATAAATATTTAAAATATAATTTATATATATTTATAAATAAACTGAATAGTTGCAATCTAAACAACTAAATTCTCGACTAAAAAAAGCCTGAAAAGTTATTATGTTGTCCATATAATTTACATTCATTCATTTATTCATTTTCTTTTCAACTTAGTCCCTTTATTAATCTGGGTTCGCCATAGTGGAATGAACCACCAACTAATCCAGCATATGTTTTACGCAACGGATGCCCTTCCAGCTGCAACCCAGCACTGGGAAACACCCATACACTCTCACATTTCCACACATACACTGCAGCCAATTTAGTAAATTAAATTCTCCTATATTGCATCTCTTTTGATAGTGGGGGAAACCGGAGCACCCAGAGGAAATCCACGCGGGAAGAACATGCAAACTCCACATGTAAATGCCAACTGACCCAGCTCAAATTGGCAACCTTCATGCTGTGAGGTGATTGTGCTACCCACTGCGCCACCACTACATATTTAGATTTTTAAATATTAATAATTTTATGGATTTTTTTAAGTTATACTTTCAGCACGCTGCAATGTCCAAGTTTCTCTGTTAATATATTTTACTTCAGCTTCATTTCATTTAACAATTAGTTTTTAATAGTATGAGTTTTCCATACCAGTAATAATCCTGATTTTATTTTTATTTTTATTACCTGCCATGCTTTGATGTCGACTTCTGCAGCTCCAGGAGGTGGAAGCACAGTTTGAGTCTGAGAAAGCAGAATCTGGTACTCTTTCTCCACGTCCATCTGCTGAGCCAGAGCCTGCATGCTGGGAAAGAAAATCTCCACCCTACAACACAGCATCATGGGTCAGAGTAACACATATACACACACACACACACCTTATAAGCACACCCATATATAAAGACATATACATAAACACCATATACAGTAAACACCACACATACATAACACATACTCACACACTCAAGTACACAAACACAAACCCCATGCATGCACAAACACACACATACAGTACCACACACACAGACACACAGACACACACATAAATATATAAATATATATACTGTACATAATCATGCACAAACACAAACTCCATGCACGCACACGCACACACACACACACACACACACACACACACACACACACACACACACACACACACACACACACACACACACACACAAAAACATATACTGTACATACTCATGCACACACACAAACTCCATGCACACACATGCACGCGCACGCGCACACACACACACGCACGCACGCATGCACGCACGCACGCACGCACACACACACACACACACAGTACATACTTATGCACACACACAAACTCCATGCACACACGCACACACGCACACACACACACACACACACACACACAAACACGTAAAACCATGTTTTTAGGGACTTCCTATAGACGTAATGATTTTTAAACTGTACAGACTGTATATTCTGTCCCCTTCCTCCAACTATAGCCCAAAACCCAACCCTCACAGGAAACAATCTGTATTTATACATCTTCAAAATGCTTCTTTCATGATTTATGAGCTGTTTGGTTTCTCACAAGGACCAAAAACATATCCTCACAAGGTCAACGTTTACTGGTATGGCTGTGCACGTAAGGAATACAGGGTACAAACAAACACATACATACATACAGCTGTCAGAATTGACTTAATAGTTTTAATAACTCATTTCTAATAAGTGATTTATTTTCTCATTGTCATGATGACAGTAAATAATATTTGACTTGATATTTTTCAAGACACTTCTATACAGCTTACAGTGACATTTAAAGGCTTAACTAGGTTAATTAGGTTAACTAGGCAGGTTAGGGTAATTAGGCAAGTTATTGTATGACAATGGTTTGTTCTGTAGACTATTGAAAAAAATATAACTTAAAGTGGCTAATACTTTTGACCTTAAAATGGCTTTTAAAAAATTTAAAACTGCTTTTATTCTAGCCGAAATAAAACAAATAAGACTTTCTCCGAAAAAAAAAAAATATTATCAGACATACTGTGAAAATTTCCTTGCTCTGTCAAACATCATTTGGGAAATATTCAAAAAAAGAAAAACATATTTAAAGGAGGGCTAATAATTGTGACTTTAACTGTACAAACCTCTAATGTTTTTAAGAGTGAACGAATAAATGTTATTGACCTGTAGAGCTGAGAGAAGTGCTTAAACAGCGCTGGTGTGTTGATGGTTTTGAAACTGGTCTGTCGTTGAGTCCAGCTCTCTTTAAAGACCTCCATCTGCTTCCAGAGCAGCAGAAAACCCTTCTGCTTCAACAGGCTCTGAAACGCATCTTCAGCTTGACACACACACTCTGCTTTTTTCTTATTGTTTGCCATGCCGTCATCAAGAAGCTGAAATATGACATGAGAATAATGGTTTAAACCAGTGGTGTCAAACTCTGCAGCCCTCCAGAGTTTAGTTCCAGCCCTGCTTCAACACACTTAAGCTGTGGTCACGCTAGTGTTTGAGCTTGCGAAATTCTGTTGTATGGCGCTGCGAAAAGGGGCGGGATTAAACAAGATAATTAGACATACAGTATAAAAAAGCGAGCGATTGATCTATGTTTTAAATTTCTGTCCAGAGAGGTCATGTTTTGATCCTCGATTGATCTCACGCACTCAAGTGATGTGATTTCGTGAGTCAGAGTTCATCAAGCTTGAACTTTGCAATGCAGCAAACTGCGAAACTTGACGCACGACCTTGCGTTTCCGTTCTGACACATTCGTGTACGTATAAATGGAAGTTTATTGGGCGAAAATTCCAGTGTGACCGCAGCTTAACCTGTGGATTACAAATAAGCCTGAAGGACTCAATTAGTTTGATTAGGTGTGTTTAATTAGGGTTGAAACTAAACTGTGCAGAGCTGCAGCCCTCCATATATCATCGTATTAAACAGTGACTACGTTTACATGGACATCAGTAATCAAATTATTTGCCCTAATCTAATTAAGACAATAAAAAGCTTAAGGCATTTATGCCTAGTTCAGACTGCGTGATTTTAGCCCCGATTTTGGCTCGCCGACAGGTTTTGAGAAATCGGCGACAAATGCCTGAAATCACAGGCAAATCGCTGCTCGTGCACGTGAGTGACAATCACACAGTATGAACTTTCAAAGACACGCTCTGAGAGAATCGCAGATGAGTCGCCGATGCCTGTGAGATATTTGGCGTGCTAAATATCTGGAGCTGTCGGCGATTCAAATCATGCCGTGTGAATTGAGTTTTGACTGAAAATAACATCAGCGATCGCCTACAGCCAATGAGAGAGCAGCTTTCACTTGTGTGTGCGTGTGTGTATACCTGCTGCAGGCCAGCGGGAGGCTGGGGGAGAAGTTAAAAGCACTCTTTTTTGGTTTATTTGGACCCACGAAATGGAAGAAAAACTAGTGGAGGTTTGACAGGACTCAGGAGCAACCGTGTCTGTTTGACGTTTCATACAGAAAGAAATTAGTTTATTATCAACGTTGAGGAGAAATGGCTAATTCCCTTTAAAACCAGGTGAGCAAACATGTACATGTTCAACCCCATTAAAGGCTTCTTTCTCATTATGTAGTTAATAACAAAAGATATACGACGTGTTTTTGGCTGTGAGACTTAGTTTGGACGAAGTTATCGGCGATTCTTCCTATAGTAAAGTCATGCAATGTGAATGTCCCTGTCGCCGATCCATCTTGCAGTGTAAACAAAGCAGCGATGAAACGCTAGCCCAGATAGTCATGCAGTGTGAAAACATCTGTGACACGACTACTTTGAAAACCATGCAGTCTGAACTCTGCATTACATGAGTTGCTTGTTGAATGTTTCTTTCATGATCCGGTTAACATAGCACATATTTAGATTAACGTCATTGAGTCACCACGTTATCCGCATTTCCTCCGGAGTTTCATGTAATTTCGGGTGTTACATTATTAATTTGTTGACTTTAACTGCGGTTTGGCACTTTCACTTTTATTTGGGCATGCCCCTCGTGACAAACGGGATATTGGATACAACTACTGTATGAACCGTTGTTTTAATGGAAGTTCATACTGCATGCTGAATGAAAGTAAAAAAACCTCAGCATTACACCATGCAGGTGTCTGTGGTCTGCACTGACTCGGTAGGTGCAAAGAGTGTCAAACAGACATGTGTGTGTATGTGTGTGTGTGACCTGTCGCAAAACGCGGCGAAAAGTCCTACATGACGGTAATAGTTCAATTAAGGTGTTTACAAGTCTGTGCTGCACTTTAATAATGTGACTAAAATACGATTTCTCTTTAGTTCGATCAAGACCTTAACCTGATTAAATTTATCAAAAATCGTTGTTTACATGGTCGACTCTTAATCAGAGTATTGGCTTAATCGCATTAAAATCACATTATTGGTGTCCATGTAAACGTAGTCATTGATATATGAGCAAACTATGAATCCACACACAAATATTTACATTCAGATTACTGTGTTCGCATTTTACAATACATTTAGTCATTTAGCAGACACTTTCGTCCAAAGTGACTTAAAATTGAGGAGGCATTTAGTGATTTAACATTGAGTGACTCATTGTGAAATACACTGCATTATGAGCGTATTTATCACTGGGTAATGCCCTCTCTTTAGTTTTGGTCTTATGGCTGTAGTATTGGTACTGGAAATGCTTGTGTTGTTGTTGTTTTCACATTAGATTAGCTCAGGGGTTAGCTCTGTCACCTCACAGCAAAAAGGTCACTGGTTTAAGTCCCGGCTAGGTCAGTTGGTGTTGGGTCTGTGTGGAGTTTGCATGTTCTCCCCGTCTTCATGTGGTTTTCCTCCACAGTCCAACGACTAAAGGTAAATTGGATGAACTAAATTGGCTGTAGTGTATGAGTGTGTGTGTAAATGTGAGAGTGCAACTTGGTTGCACCTTGAAGAGGATCCGCTGTGTAAAACAAATAATGGACAAGTTGTCGGTTTATTCCTCTGTGGCAACCCTTAATAAATCAGGGACTAAGCCGAAGGACAATTTTTCTTTGTAAACCAAGACAAATCTGTAAAACCCCAATTTCATTCATTCATTCATTTTCTTGTCGGCTTAGTTCCTTTATTAATCCGGGGTCGCCACAGCGGAATGAACCGCCAACTTATCCAGCAAGTTTTTTACGCAGCGGATGCCCTTTTAGTCGCAACCGATCTCTGGGAAACATCCACACACACATTCACACCCACACTCATACACTACGGTCAATTTAGCCTACCCAATTCACCTGTACCACATGTCTTTGGACTGTAGGGGAAACCGGAGCACCCGGAGGAAACCCACGCGAAGGCAGGGAGAACATGCAAACTCCACACAGAAACGCCAACTGAGCCGAGGTTCGAACCAGCGACCTTCTTGCTGTGAGGCGACAGCACTACCTACTGCGCCACTGCCTTGCCTAAAACCCCATTTTGGCAGTTTAATTCATGATATACTTTAAAATGACCCCATTTATATGGGGGGAAAATATGGCAGAAACGAGTTTGGTATTAGGTATTTGGTATTTTCATTTCGGTGCATCCTTATAAAACCATTTTGCACTGTAAAAAATGCAGGGTTTCATAAAATTCATTCAGGTTGTCCCAACCCAAATCTATTAAGTTAACTTAACAAATTTAAGTGGATTGACCATAAAACAATTAAGTTGTCCTAAAAATTTGCTTAAACTCATTTTACAAAATCATTTCAGTTTCTTATGTGCACTTACAGTAAGTCCCTGATACTGTTGTTATGCAGATTAAAAACGCAACATAATATTAATTCAATGTACACTTTAAATGGATAAAACCTGTAATTAATTAGCAATTTAACTGATAACACTTTACAATAAGGTTCATTAGTTAATGCATTTACTAACATGAACTAATCATGAACAACACATGTACAGCATTTATTAATCATAATTGAACATTTACTAATGCATTACTAACATCCAAATCCATGCTTGTTAACATTAGTTAATGCACCATGAGTTAACATGAACTAACAATGAACTACTGTATTTTCCTTAACGTTAACTAACATGAACAAATACAGTAGTAGATGTATTGTTCATTGTTTGTTCATGTTAGTAAATGCATTAATTAACATTAACTAATGAACATTATTGTAAAGTGTGACCATTTTACGTATGACAATCATATGATTAATCACAAATAAATATTTAAATCTATTGATAGCTTAATATCTATATCTAAATATGAATAAGGATTTATTTCTAAAATTCACAGATCGTCTTTACAGTACAATGACCTTGTATATATCAAGCGATCAGACACATTTTCATTACTCAATTGATAAACACTTAGATAAAAATGTATAATCCACACAAATGTATACTGTTTTGTTTTTTGGGAGTATGTTGTTGTATTTTGCACTGTCTGAGGTTAGCACCAAAGCTTTTCACTCATCACTGCACATGTGCTGCTGATAATGTGACAATAAAAGTGATTTAAAATGCAATCCGTTTAGTTTACTACCTGTCTTAAAGATTTATAGGACGTCTTAACACTGCAAAAATGTTTTTGTTACCTCGAGTTTTTGTCGTGTTTCTAGATAATATTTTAAAATTCTTAAATCAAGAAGTATTTTCTAGACAAGCAAAAATATTGTCTTGTTTTCAGAAATAATGTCAAAATTAAGTCTGATTCTTATATAATGAAACTGAACTGATACTAATCTGCCAATGAGGTAAGTAAAATAATCTAAACAAAAGCAAGATTATTTTGCGAATTCATTGGCAGATTATTTAGCTTGTTTTAAGGAGAAAACTGCATAGTTTTGACCTAAAATTTCTGAAAACGAGACAATATTTTTACTTATCTAGAAAATGCTTCTTGATTTAACAATGTTTAGATATCTGGACTAGAAACAAGAGGGAAAATGCAGTGTATGAACTGTCCTGCCAATGTGGAAATGTTTTGTACATTTAAAACCTGAATGTTTCACTGTATTCTTCTGAGTTAAAGAGAAGGCCGTTTTGAAATGCCGAATTGTCCTGTACTTCTCTGTCAGATGTCGACTTGTTGTCGTCTGTGGTCTGCATCTGTAGCGGCATCGCATCTCTACCACTACTGAGCACATCGTCCATGATAAGAGAAACACCCAGAATCGCTCCATTCGCCTCCATTCTGCAGCGGTCGTTCAGATCACACAGACACAGCTACAAAAACACAACATTACATCATCCCGAAGCTAATAAAGCCTTACAAAGTTAAAAATTAAGAGTGCAAAAGATGCAGTAAACACAACACAGAAAATAAAACATATGGTAAACATTAAACACATAAACAGCAGTAGAACAGAAATGGAAAAAATAGGAATGTAAAAATGACAATCAGAATAAACAGTGCTTATCATTAATAAAAATAATAATAATAATACTAGTAGTACTAATAATAATGGTAATAATGGTAATAATGATGATAATAATAATAGTAATGGTGGTAACAATAATAATTATAACAGCAACAACAATAATAATAATACTAATAATAATAATAATAATAATAATAATAATAATAATAATAAAGTAATAATAATAGTAAAAATAATAATGATAATAATAACAACAACAACAACAGTAACAACAACAACAACAACAACAATAATAATAATAATAATAATAATATCAATAATAACATCAATAATAATAAAGATAATTCTGATAATAATAATATCAATAATAATAATAATAATTATTATTATTATTATTATATCAATAATAATAATCATAACAATGTAAATAATGTCAATAATTATAATATCAATAATAATAATAATAATAATAAAGATAATAATAATGATAATAATATCAATAATTATAATATCAATAATAATAATAATAATAATAATAATAATAATAATGATAATAATATCAATACTTATAATATCAATAATAATAATAATAATAATAATGTAAATAATATCAATAATAATAATAACAATAATAATAATAATAATAATAATAATAATAATAAAGATAATAATAATATCAATACTTATAATATCAATAATAATAATAATAATAATAATAATAATGTAAATAATATCAATAATAATAATAACAATAATAATAATAATAATAATAATAACAATAATAATAATAATAATAAAGATAATAATAATGATAATAATATCAATACTTATAATATCAATAATAATAATAATAATAATACTAATAACAATAATAATGTAAATAATATCATTAATAATAATAACAACAATAATAATAATAATAATAATAAAGATAATAATAATAATGATGATAATAATATCAATAATTATAATTATAATAATATCAATAAAAATATTAATAAAGATGATGATAACAATAATAATAATAAGGTTGGTGAAATTCTGTAGATAAGGTATATTAAAAATTTTGTGATGAAGGCAACACTGATATCAATAATAGTGAAGATAATAACAGTAATTAGTAGTATAGTATACAAAGTACAGTATAATGAGTACAATGTTCACATTTATAAAGTAACACACCTGCATGTAATGTTCAATGGGTGAGACGTCCCACATGACCAAGGGATGTAATCCATGAATTGCAAGGAAAGATCTCCATGGATATAATTTTTGGGCCTGAAACCACAAACGGAATTGAAGCAAAATTCACTGGAATCCAGTTATGATTTGGCAGACATAAAGCTGAAGTCAGAATTATTAGCCCACCTGAATTAATCACCCCTTTTTATTTTTCTCCAATTGCTGTTTACCGGAGAGAAGATTTCTTCAACACATTTCTAAACATAATAATAACTGATTTTTAATAACCAATTTATTTTATCTTTGCCATGATGACAGCACATAATATTTGACTAGATATTTTTCAAGACACTTCTTTACACCTTAAAGTGACATTTAAAGGCTTAACTAGGTTAATTAGGTTAACTAGGCATGTTGGAGTAATTAGGCAAGTTATTGTATAATGATAGTTTGTTCTGTAGACTATCAGAAAATATATATAGCTTAAAGGGGCTAATAATATTGACCTTAATATGGTTTTTAAAAATTAAAAACTGCTTTTATTCTAGCAAAAAATATAATAATAATAAGACTTTCTCCAGGAGAAGAAAAAATATTATTAGACATAATGTGAAAATGTCCTTGCTCTGCTAAACATCATTTGGGGAATATTTGAAAAAGAAAAAAAAAATCTAAGGGGGCTAATAATTCTGACTTCAACTGTACATTAATGGTGCAGATAGAAAAATAGGAAAGATATGGGGACTAAAATGAACTTATAAATAAGCTTGTACAATAATTTCATTAGGTAGATCAATCTGAATGTTTCTCACCTGAGAACTGGCTGCTTCTAGAGGCTGAGGAACGGAGAGGAGATTGGCTCCTCCCACTATCATGTCACTCATGATAGGGAGGGCGTGGCTCATGTTTTCAGTCATGCTCTGATAGGCAGACAGGTTTCCAGAGGAGAGGAACGCATCCCTTGTGGAGAGACAAAAACTGTAAGACACTCTTGTCAAAAAATAAATAAATAAATAAATGAAAAATAAATAAATACATTTAATAAAAATTTAATTAAATAAAATGTGGTGTGTTCGTATTTAATATTAAACAACATTATTTTTTCCTTAAAAAATAAGAACACATAAAATAAAATAGCTTACAAAGGACAATATTCATATTATATTGTAGATTTATATTCAATATTCAACAGTATTTATGTTTACCCTAAAGACTAAGAACACATTATTAATATTTTTAAATAATATTAACAATTATTTGATATTAATATTTGTATTCATATATTAAGTAGTTATAATAATAATAATAATAATAATAATAATAATAATAATAATAATAAAGAATATTAATAAAAACTTATATTTAATATTTAACAATCGTTTTTTAGCTTACAAATATAACAAAAGACAATATTTATATTCTATTAAAGTTATATATTTAATATTCAACAGTATGAATTTTACCATAAAAAAGGAACACATGTAATATTATATTAATATTCATAAGAATAACAACCATAATAAAAGATGCAAGTTAAAGGAAAATTTGGATTTTTTTTACCAAATAAAAACACTGCTAAATATTTACAAAATAATAAATAAATAAAATTAAACAAAAATAAATAAACAAACGGATTAATGAATGAATAAAAAAAAAGCAACCAGCATTAATAACTAGATTATATATCTAATCTGGTCTTTTCAAAGACGTTCCCCTCTGCCTCCTCTCAAACTTGATTACATTATTAACATCAACACTAATGCTGTGAGTTAAATCTGTGGTTAACCAGCACCTGATCATGTATCTGACTGCGGTATCAAAGCGCAGGAAAAGCACGTCTCTGTGTAACTGCAGGAGTCGCCCGACACTCTCTGAACTGCTGGACTCACAGAGAGACTCAATCTGTCGCTGGACGTCCCACAGCTCAGCCCCTTCAGGCAAACAGCACAGCATTACCAAACACTGTACAGTACATTCACGCAAAATACACACAAATACATCGTACATACACACAAAATGTTAAAAACACTGCATTACAACCTTTTTACTACACCCCATGGTGATTTACATGAATTCTCTATTAAACAATAAACACTTCATATTCTACCATAGGTTTATATTCAGGATTCAACAGTAATTATTTTAACCTAAAAATAAGAACACGTATATTATTATTATTATTATTATTATTATTATTATTATTATTATTATTATTATCATTCTTGTTGTTTGTAATTACTGTTTGTTGATTTGTTTCAGTTGTTTTGAATGGAATTTTCCCCAAACCAAGTGTATAACTCATAATTAAAATGCAGTCGTATGTGGAAGAGGAAAATAGCTTGTGTTGTACATAGATGATCACGTACCGATGCTCTCTAAACCTCCCCAGTCTGCCGTGAGCTTCTGAGTGCTGCTGCGACTGCACAAAGAGTCGGAATTCCCCAATCGTGCAAAGCTCACCAGGTAATAAACAATATCATGAAGAGCTGACATGATCTGCAGAGAGTTTTGAAGAGCCTGCTGACGCTCCTGCAGCAAGAGCAAACAATATATGATTTAATACATTCAATAAAAGACTCCAGATCAGCAGATGAGTCAAACAAATAAGGTAAGACTGAAGGTGAATAGTGTATAAGCAAACAAACCAGTGCTGTTTCAAGAGTTCACACTTAGCTGATGATTGATTATAAGCAAGTTTGGCATGCTGTCCCGGGAGAGAGCCCTGAGCTTGAAGGTTCTTGAGCCCTGGGCTCCCTCCCGTTTAAAGGAAGAGAGGGGAGCCTTGAGCTCAGGTAGATCTCGACAACTCCCCCTTGATAAGAGCTGATGACTAAAAATTGAATGCTATTAAAATATATGCTGCATTATGAGATTACCTGTATAGCAAATTTAGATTGATCAATTTACTTGTTGTGCATGTTTTTGGAATGTGGGAGGAAACCGGAGGACCCGGGGAAAACCCACGCAAGCACGGGAAGAACATGCAAACTACACACAGAAACGACCACCGGCCTGTTAAAGGACTAGAACCGGTGACGTTCTTGCTGTGAGGTGACAGTGCTAGTCACTGGGCCACCGTGCTGCCCTATGGAGGGAAAGGTGAAAAGGTAGGGGTGGAAGGGGGGATTCTTCAAATCGAAGATGACTGTAGCGAAGAAACCCTGGCTCTTTATAGTGGGTTAGGAATGGCCTGATTGGTGGATCATGCATGCTAATGCAGAACCAGCCGTGTTCAATCTTAATCACATGCTCCTCTCGAAATTAGTTTATGAATAAACTTCACTAAAAGATTAATCATGATTAATTACATTCAAAATAAAGACTTTTATTTGCATAATAGGGCTGCATGATGGCGCAGTGGGTATCATGTTTGTCTCACAGCAAGAAAGTCGCTGGTTCGAGCATTGGCTGGCTCAGTTGGCGTTTCTGTGTTGAGTTTGCTTGTTCACCCTGTGTTCACGTGGGTTTCCTCCGGGTGCTCCGGTTTCCCCCACAAGTCCAAAGACATGTGACATTCGGTAAGCGAAATTGTCCATAGTGTATGTGTGTGTATGGATGTTTCCCAGTGATGGGTTGCAGCAGGAAGGGCATCCGCTGTGTAAAACATACGCTGGATAAATTGGCAGTCCATTCCACTGTGGCGACCCCAAATTAATAAAGGCACTGAGCCAAAATAAAAACGAATGAGGTAATTTGCATAATATATACAGTCAAGCCCAAAATTACTCATACCCCTGGCAAATTTTGACTTTAATTTGCTGCTTAAATATGAGTAGCAAGATTTTTTTGACTGGAAATGACAAGGGCTTCTCCAAAAAGACAGTAAGATGATTTACACGAGGCATTATTGTGGGGAAAAACAAACAAATAAATAAACAAATAAAATATATATAGATATTTAGTTGTATTTCCTCTTTGCAATCTGGGGCCTGGGCCCGGTTTTTCAAAGGTTTATTGATCTTGATTCAGTAATCCTTTTTTTGCGATCCATGATCACGTAATCTAGCTTACTTTTTGAGCCAGTTTTTCAAAGCAACATTGGAACGGGTCAATCTGATCTGGATAGGAATTTTTCTGTATCACTAAATCTAGCAAACCAGTGCTCAAACAGAATAGGAAATCCCAATATAGAACTATAGATATGTAAAGAGCAACAAGTAGAATAGCCAGTGTGGGGTCAGTATAACTTTATTTTTATTTGAAATGAAAACACACACATTTAAAAAAAAAAAAAAAAAAAACCCACCCCATCCTCTTCCAGCTGTCCGCTCTTCTGAGAACTACAGCACAAACACTGTACTGTGCAAAACACTGCACTGTACACAAACACTGTACAGCTGCGCTGATGGTCGTGGGGAGTGGAGAACATGAGTCTGATTCCAGCGACGCTCCAGGGACTGACGAGTCTTCGCTGAGGCCATCTTCCAGCCTAAACCACGACGAATGAAGTTCTGCACAAGACTTTTGGCCAGCGGAGAAATTCAAATGGTCGTGCCCAACTGAGTCTGGTTCTCTCAAGGTTTTTTTTCTTCACTCCCATCAGGTGAAGTTTTTTTTCCCTCTCCGCTGTCGCCACTGCCTCGCATGGTTCAGGATTGGTAGAGCTACGCATCGATGAACTGGCTCTTCAGTGTTTGAACTCTCAGTAATGATTAAATCACACTGAACTGAGCTAAACTGAACTGAACTGAACTTAAACACTAAAACCTGAACCACACTGTTCCAGTTACTGAACCACACTGTTCCAGTTACTATGACCATTTATGTGAAGCTGCTTTGACACAATCTACATTGTAAAAGCGCTATACAAATAAAGCTGAATTGAATTGTACAAGTTTCAAATATAGATGTATTGAATAAAAAAAAGACAATGTCAAAACCTCCACAATAATTTCAGACTTCCTCATCTGATGTGGAGAGACCAGCTTGTCTGAGCATAGCCTTTAGGAGGCGGATCTCAAGTCTGGCCTTGGTTTGCTGCAGTTTGGTCAGAGTCAGTTGTTTCTCTGCCAGACGAAGCTGTGCTTCTGCCCTTTCAGTCTCTTTTTGCAATTAATGAAAGTGATTTCAAAAATCAGTGATTGTTTATTCTGTAATCATTGCATGCATCACTAATAAATATTCTAAAAAGAAAAATATTTCTATTGTGATGAATATATATATATATATATATATATATATATATATATATATATATATATATATATATATATATCAATTAATGACAGATTAAAATGTATTGTTTTTGGTCAATTTTGACAGCTGTTTGAGGGATTATTTTATGAGGCCAAACTCTTTTTACTTTGCTGTAGGCCTATACTGAAAGGCTGAAAACGTTAAAGCCTACCTAATCACTATAGCCTGACGGATGGACAAATAAAATTAAAAACCTTATGAATAAATATCTTCTAAGTTACTGCATAATCCAAATATAGTATTATTTGATACTTTTTTAAAGTTTTCATTACATTTTGGGCATGAAATCCACGCTGAATCCACCCTTCTGATGGGATCAGTTTAATCCAGATTTTTTGGGTCAAAGTGATCCAGATCATACAAAAAAGGTCGGAAAAACCCAAACTAAATGTTTGATCCTGATCAAAATCAAGATTGGAATACGTGATCTAATCCGATTATGTAATCCATTTTTTTCTTTTGAAAACCCATTTTCAAGATTTGATCCAATCCCTTATCCAAAATCCTAGTGGATTACTTTTGAAAAACCGGGCCCTGGAGATCACAATATTACTATGGTATGAATACAGCACTACAAAAAAAAAAAGAGATCAGCAAGTCATTTACCTGTTTAATAATGATTTGTTCAGCTGTAGTTTAAAATTATGCTGAGTCTTTTCTCCTCTAAGGGTTTATCTTGTGAATGACAATCGTCATCTTGTGAATGAACATCGTCAACCGGCTTTGCTCAAAGACAGGCTAATGGCCGTCGATGCGCTGTCTCTCAGAAATGATAAATATCTTAAAATAGGCTTTATCTTTTTAAATAAACTGCAAATTTGCAATCTAAACAACGACATTCTTGACTAAAAAAAGCTTCAAAAGTACATTATGTTGTCCAACAGCAGCAATATAAGTCATACTGTAGAGTGTCCTCTGTTTGTTGCTGTATGTGGGAGGATTGATACACAAGGGTGAAGGGTGAAGGGTGAAGAGGCTGGACGAGTGCTGTTACTAGCAGAATATTGCACAACTATCAGCCAATCAGATTTAAGAACCAGACAGAACTGTTGTATAAATATAAATAAATACACACATACACAAGAAAATCCAGATTCATATTTATAAATTAAATATTTTTATATAATACAAATGATATATAAATAAAAGCACATTTATATCTTTTTTGTTTTGTATTTATTTGTATTATGTTTTGTTTACAGTATGTATACGCAATATTTATACAGACTGTACACACACTTATTATGTAAATACAAACTTTTATTTTGAATGTGATTAAACGCAATTAATCGTTTGACAGCAAATAATAAAACAATTTTACTCATGTTTATCAGCATATTTCCACAGCTGATTGATTATATTAGGAATTGCAAACATTTTTGCATTTTAAGTTTTATAAGATGCAAGTTCTGAAAATGCTAATTAAGTATTTATAAATGGCAAAGATTTATTTGAGATTAATTACATCCAAAATAAATGTTTGTTTTGATTCAAGACATGCCTTTCTATTAGGATATCCGAGTCATTTAAACTTGCTTTATCCTTTATATGTTTCAGGTTTTTATGTATTTTATGTAGTTTTATTTCTTTGGTCTTATTTGACAAATACACTACCTGACAAAAGTCGTGTTGCCTATCCAAGTTTTAGGAACAACAAATAATAACTTAACTTCTAGTTCTTATATGAAAGGCAAAGGCCTCTAGATTACGCTTATTTGACCAAAATAAAACATGATCATGCCTTGATTTTTAATTATTTAATTAGGAAAGTAAGCTCTGACTTCCCTGAGACAAATGTCTAGTCACTTAACAGAAATAATGTCCAGTATAGAATATAAAGTCATGCTGCAGTGGAAACAGAATGAATATTGTGTCTGACTCCATCATGAGCTTGGAGGACTGCATCCATACGTCTCTGCAATGACTCAAATCACTCATTAATAAAGTCATCTGAAATGGCAAAGAAAGTGTTCTTGCAGGACTCCCAGAGTTCATCAAGATTCTTTGGATTCATCTTTAATGCCCCTATCTTCATCTTACCCCAGACATGCTCAATAATGTTCATGTCTACTGAATGGGCTGGCCAATCCTGGAGCACCTTGACCTTCTTTGCTTTCAGGAACTTTAATGTGGAGGCTGAAGTATGAGAAGGAGCACTATCCTGCTGGAGAATTTGCCCTCTCCTGTGGTTTATAATGTAATGGGCAGCGCAAATGTCTTGATATCTCAGGCTGTTGATGTTGCCATCCACTCTGCAGATTTCTCTCGCCCCTATACTGATTGCTTCACCAAACTTGACTTATTTCTATGAAAATCTTAGGTCCATGCAGGTTCCAGTAGGTCTGCAGTATTTGTGATGATTGGGATGCACTTTAGCAAATAATTCATGGGAAACCTTCTGCCACTTTTCCAAATGATCATCTAGAAGTCAAGTTATTATTTATTGCTCTTAAAACTGGATTGACAACAAGACTTTTGTCAGGTAGTTAGCAGTTTGTGCACAGCACAATAGTCAATGACTGATGTTGCATTGTGCTATATAAAGTAAATTAAAGCAAAGCTAAGTAAATAAAGAAAAGTAAAGTAAGGGAGGAGAAATGCATCATGCAGCATTTGAGACATGAAATCACAATGCAAAAGCAGTTTAAATGTTCTGTATTTAATTTTCTTCAGGATATTTTGCTTTGTGTTCAACAGGAGATAAAAATTAATAAAAATGTATAACCATTTGAGTGAGTAAATTGTGAGGAAGTTTATAACATTTGATGAATATTTGCATATTTTATGCAAGGTATTGTACCTGTGCATGTATCGGTAACATTTGAAATGCTGCTTTGCTAAACCGAATGCTTAGGAGTATTTTTAAAAGGGCCTGGGGGGAAAAAAAGTGTTCATTTTAGCCAAAGATGAGTTTCTGACCTTCTCCTTTAGAGTCCTGAACATGAGCAGTACTTCTGTATAATGAGGGATGAACCACAGATTCAGCAGACTCTTTCCATCGGCTGATAACAGTCTTCTGGGACAAGGCTGAAAAGTCCTGAATGACCAAAAGTTGATAAGAGTTGATTTAAAAAGGCAGTTACATTCTGGAAAGTGTGTTTTTTATGTATGAATGAATGCATATACAGTATTTATGCAGAAATGTCATTTTTGTAATGCCTCTAATTTGATATTATACATTTATGCATTTTGTTTATCACAGATAACATTTTTTTAAATAGTTTTAGCATTAAACAATGTGAACCATTGGATCAACTGAATTTGGTTATAAGTACATTACAATAAGTTGACTTTTTCGAGTGTAACAAAAGAAATGTTTTAAGTTGATCCATAGGTTTACTTTGTACAGTAATAGCCTTTCAATTTAACATAACTACAAAACGTAACCTGCCTATCTCTATAAATCATTTTGCCTTCAGAAGTGTCTTAATCCTTGGTGGCGTTGATTCAACAAGGTACTGGAAATATTCCTTAGAGAATTTGGTTCAGGATGACATGATAACATCACACAGTTGCTGCACATCCATGATGTGAATCTCCCGTTCCACCACATCCCAAAGGTGCTCTATTAGATTGGGATCTGGTGGCTGTGGAGGCCATTTGAGTACAGTGAACTCATTGTCATGTTCAAGAAACCAGTCTGAGATATTTGGTGCTTCATGACATGGTGCGTTATTTTCAACCCAGGCTCATTGTGGAAACGTAGTCCCGCGGACGTTTCTGGAGACCGCGGAATACGTCCCGGCGGGTACGTACGGCTGCAGTTTTTGTTTTTGCGAATCCGCGAGAGGCCGCTGTTGTGTGATTTTTCTCATCTTGAACGTCTCTCGCGAGTGCGGTTCGCGCCCGCACTGTTCTCGCGTCAACCCGCCAGAGGCCGCTGTCCGACTGACCGGATGATTGACTGCACGACGCCAACCAATTTTACCGATTGACCCGCCCGCCCGCTCGCTTCCCTAAACCCGAGCAACAGTTTACAAAAGCCGTTCAAAAAAAGAAAAGCCCTGATTTTTTTTTTCTACCGCGTTTTCGGATTTCACCGCGTTCTCACCCTGTTATGAAACTCGTTCACTTAATTTTTGGGATTCTGTTTTTGTCTTACCTGTTTGCTGGAACCAATCTTCCCCGGACTCCAAACCGATTGACGTGGTCGACTCCTCTCTGCATCTCGAGCCTGCCGACGTTACACGGTGAGCTGAGTGGACAAACGGGTTGCAGCGGGAAAGCCCTCCACAAGGAGGTAAGCGGTCAGCCGGCAAGCGCGAAAGGGAACAGCGTCACACCGCCCCGCAGCGTTCGCTTGAAAAAAATAAATGCAGCCGTACGTACCTCCCGGGACGTATTCCGCTGTCTCCAGAAACGTCCACGGGACGACGTTTTCAGAATGAGCTTGGGTTGGTTATTTTGCTGGAAGTAGCTCTCAGAAGATGGATACACTGTGGTCATAAAAGGATAGACATGGTCAACATCAACAGCAACAATACTCAGGTAGGCTTTGTGCCAAAGTGTGCCAAGAAAATATCCCCCAAACCATTACACCACCACCACCAGCCTGAACTGCTAATACAAGGCAGGATGGATCCATGTTTTTATGTTGTTGACGCCAAATTCTGACCCTACCATCCGAATGTCACGGCAGAAATCGAGACTCATCAGACCAGGCAATGTTTCTCCAATTTTCTATTGTCCAATTTTGGTGAGCCTGTGTAAATTGTAGCCTCAGTTTCCTGTTCTTAGTTGACAGGAGTGGCACCTGGTGAGGTCTGCTGCTGCTGTAGCCCATCTGCCTCAAGGTTGGATGTGTTGTGCGTTCAGAGATGCTCTTCTGTAGGCCTCGGTTGTAACGAGTGGTTATTTGAGTTACTGTTGCCTTTCTATCAACTGGAACCAGTCTGGCCATTCTCCTCTGAACTCTGGTACCAATAAGGCATTTACGTCCACAAAACTGCCACTCGCTGGATATTTCCTCTTTTACGGACCATTCTCTGTTAACCCTAGAGATGGGTGAGCGTGAAAATCCGAGTAGATCAGCAGTTTCTGAAATACTCAAACCAGCCTGTTTGCACCAACAACCATGCCCCGTTCAAAGTCACTTAAATCACCTTTCTTCCGCATTCTGATGCTCGGTTTGACCTGCAGCAGATCATCCTGACCATGTCTACATGCCTAAATGCTGTGGGTTACTGCCATGCGATTGGCTGATTAGAAATTTGGGATAACGAGCAGTTGGACAAGTGTACCTAATAAAGTGGCCAGTGTGTGTGTGTATCATTAGTAATAATTGAAAGACTTTAACTATATGTTACATCATTGTTTTTGCTTATTTTTTTATTTATTTTTTTACAAATATTGCATTATTTAAGAATCAAATTATTTAACATGCTCTTGGCATATCAAATTTTTCTTCAATATCACCTAATTTCCCTCCACATGTTCACCTGGGATCAGGACTTGGTCTGCCCTCGGCCTGCAGGTCTGCTCGGGGGTCTTCAGGTTTGCCCATTATGAAGTGCTGGTCTCTGATGTGTGGCACCTCACGCAGCAGTGACAAGAGACTGAAGGTTAGAGAGATCAGCTGCCCTCGAACAAAACACTCACATACACGCTCATTAAACCTGCAAGACACAAAGTAATGCAGTACATAAAGTAATGCAATACAATGTTGAGTTACTCCCTAAACTAGTACATAGTTACTTTTATGATAAGTAATGCGTTACGTTACTTTGAGTTACTTTCGTGTTACTTTCCTTACCTTTTGGGCTTGGGGCCCTATCATATACCCGTCACAAAAAGGAGCAAGATGTGTTTGGCGTGATTTGTTGCTATTTTCAGACCAGCACAACTGTAAATTTTCAAGTTTTGCACCACATTGTTTAAATGGCAAATCCATTTGTGCCACTTTGTGGATAATTTTCTCTTAAACGAGCACAAACAGTTACTAAAGTAGTCGAATGCTTCATTATAGATCTGTGCAGTCTTAAAGTGACACCTCTGTTATCAAACAAAACACAATGAGAGATTCATTTGCTGCTTTCACTAAATAACTATCCGCTTGTTAAGTGGTGACGTGTTTGTGACGTTTGTAATACTGTTTCCGTGTCCAAGCCGCCATTCACTTGAGTAGAGAAATCATTCGTTTATGATCACTTTTATTCCTATCACACATTAAAGTTAATTTTACATAAAGTCATAGTGTACACAACAATCTCTGGGCTTGCTGCATAACAAATACCAAAAATTTCACAATTTATAAAACAATGAATCACTTTCTGGCCATCGGATATTAGGCATGGACATATATATTGCGATCATGACTTTCGAAAGTATTAAATCGCTTTGTAAACGTTTATTATTACCATTTTATGAATCTCCCCATTCAGTTGAATAGAGCGCTTGGACCCGGAAGCCGCTCCGCGTGACGTCACACTTAACAAGCGGATAGCAAATACAATAAAGTGAGGTAGATTTTATAGCTTTATTTTCTGTACAGGCCATTGATTTTAATGGGCTAAACCTATTTTATTTTATTGTCAATATTTTCTAATGTTTGTTATGTATTGTATCATTTGAAGCTATTTGCTTTCCCATTTCTTTTACATCCCAACGTAGATGGGTATGGCATAATAACATGGTTGCTAATCAATAAATAGCTATAGTGCTATTTGTTAGTTTTAACATCAGCTAATGTTATGGAAGAGCATAGATAGTTATGGAAAATAACAAGCAAATGTGTAAAGATTAGATCTATTCAGCAAAAACGTTAATTGCATTGGCATATTTATCTGACGTTTTCCTAGCTTATAGTAGTCGATCAAAAAGCTATTTGGTTTCTTATGACTATTTGTACACTAGCAGTGGAATTTATTGCGATGTGACAGGGCGTCACCAGAAATCTTGCCTAGGGCGCAAAACTGGTTAGGACCGGGCCTGTATAGACCTTTTTCTTGGAACGCAAAATTACCCATTATGCTTTGCGTGTATGCGCAAGGAGAATGCGAAGAACTTCCGGTCGGCAGCTGATGCGTGTAAACAGTCACATTTGGACAGCTTTTAAACGATAGTTTTAATCTATTTTACCTGCTTTTATCCTCTTTGAACTAATTCTGTTGTCCATCAGCAGCATCTCCTGGACTGATCATTTAAAGAAATGCGATTCAATATGATGGAAAACAGCTGCTGTGAGGCGTTTTCCCCTCGTTGTCAGACGGCATCTTCTGCAGTTTAAATGAAGCCTCGTCATCGCTAAAGTCAACATTTTCTCTTTATTTCAAATATATAACCAGCCCAAACAAATGTAGTTCACCAAAATGTTTGACACACACACATGGCCTGTACTGTGCCACTGACACACTGATTTAATAACTGTGACAAAGTGAAAATATAGGCTAGTGTCATTTCGAAATGACAGAAAAACACAAACCGTGGTAAAAACAACACACGAAATAAAACACAAACGGCTCGCGATTAGAATGAACAGCAAATCAGCCAGCAGAGGATCAATAACAGACTTTTATTGCTCATTTTTGTAAATTGCACGACTTTCATACCTGTTAAATTTCATGCTGGTTTGCTCTCTCTCTCTCGCTCTCTGTGTGTGTGTGTGTGTGTGTGTGTGTGTGTGTGTGTGTGTGTGTGTGTGTGTGTGTGTGTGTGTGTGTGTGTGTGTGTGTGTGTGTGTGTGTGTGTGTGTTAAAGAGCCGCTGAGCTAACAGCTAACAGGCCGGGTACACCCACTGTATTTCTGACGGCAGACACGTGAACTAGGAGAACGTTTTTCTCGTATTTCTGACGCGCTTGAACCACATGTGACAGATTATAACGGCTTTAACAGACACATTTCTAAGTTGTGTGTCACAAAAACACTCTGTTATCCATTAAAAACGTCATTGAAACCCATTTTTTGGAGCGCAAATTACCAGTTGTACACGCTGTAAACGGAAGTTTTTAGCATTCTACCGGAAGACGCTGGTCGCTATGGCGCCCTCCATGCAGCAGCCATGAAAAAGGTCTATAGCCCTGCAGCGCACCTGTGACAGAAATCCACGATCAGCTTCCTCTTGATTCTGCACACGTCTTCCTATAAAAAAGAAAAATTGACTTAATACTGAGGTAGATATGTCTGCATATTGAGTAAATTAAGTCCGTACATACAGAGTTCATCTTCAGCGAGCCCATCTGCTCTTTCTTCTTTATAAACGTATTCAGCATTTCATCTCGGAGAGACACTTTCTCCAGCTGAATGGACACAAAAGCTCCCGCAAACCTGAATTACAACACACTTTTCTCAGTTAAAAGGGAAGTATTATGCTAGAATCACTTTTATAAGAGGTTTAAAAAGCAGTCTGTAAATATAACCAGCTAATAATGGTAAAAACTGATTATTTTAATTTTTATAATAAGACTTAATAAAAACAGAGACAATTTGATTGACATTCTCTCTTTGTACGTATCATCAGAGAGCGTAAGCCCATTAGTGACCATCTCTCCCTCATTAGCATAGGATGTCAGTCTTGTTTTTGAATCAGCCACAATGCTGACACAAAGGTATTTGTAGCTCCTCCCTCTTTTGAAAAGAGCACAATCTCATTTAAATTTAAAGCGACAGTCACCAAAATGACACAATTAGGACCGAAGCCTAAAAGGGTCAGTTTCAATAAGTTATATAACATTTTCCGTTTGGTATTTTGAGCTGAAACTTCATATACATCCCTCTAGGCACATCAGAGATTAATTTACATCTTGTAAAAAGAGGCATAATAGGTCCCCTTTAAAACATGTCTTAATGTCTATTAGGCTGCATTTACACTGCAGATCTTGATGGTCAATTCCGATTTTGTGACTGCATCCGATTTATTTGATGACCTGCTTACATCATTTTTTAAAGGTGACTTGTATCCTATCGTCTACATTTACGCAGCACACGGCAAAGGCGCAATGACCAGGAAAAAAAAAAGAGCGGGCGCTGACTAACAGCTGATAATTAAAGAGCGCTCTTTTCTCTATTCCTGTATGTCTTTTCTTCGCAGCTTTTGACAAGCTGTTTCACTATAGTTTATGACAGAAAGGCTCTTATTTTTTTTATCTTCTTTTGATAAATAGGCTTTTTTAAACCTTTAGGCATCTTAATGTAATGTCCATGGCGTGATTTATGCACGTGATGTATGCACTAGTTTTATATTGGTTACGTGGCGGACCTTGCGTTCTCTCGCTCTCATTAACATGCTTAAATACTTGTGCTACATAACAATATAAAAGCTGTTTAAGTCCTCGTGTATGAGATTTAACATTTGGGACTCTCCTGAAGTCTGTTCTGAAAGTAAAGTGTCAGACTTGACGTCATTCGCTACGGTTTTTAAATGACGCGCGACTCGCATTGACAGGTGAAAATCCGATCTACTTGCTTACACTGCAGACAGGAGAACACAGATCTGATTCATTTCAGATAAATTTCCACAAACAGTATGAACGAGGCCTAAATCTGATTTGGGTAAATCAGAATCCATGTGATTTGTTCCTGCTTAAACGTACATGGGCCACATCCAATCTCTGCCACATGGAAGAAAATAATAGGAATTGAGTCACTTCAACAGTAAACGCAGCCTTAAGGCCCGTGCACACAGAGATGTTTTTTGCTCGTGTTTTCCGTCAATGTTTAACGCCTCGTGACTATATAAAGGATGTCAATGTGATTGTGCACAACAATGCGCAAAATGGCAAGCGCAAAAGCATCATTTAAAAAAAAAAAAAGCCTCAAGGCTCCTACACACCGAGACACTATTTGTTTGCGTTTATCGTCAGCGTTTTACGAGACGTTTTTCTGTATTCAAACCTAAGCGATGTTAGATGGCGCTAAACAATTAAGCTTCTGACACCCGCTTATAACACAGAAGAAGAGGAGGGGAAGTTCACACGCTTGTTAAAGTTACTGGTGACTCGAACAAGCATGGATGGTTCAAGCAGCAGCTCCAGCTCTAGCGATGAAGAAATGATTATTGTTTACCAGTGCAATAAGCAGCTACACGTTCATATCGCCTCTGTGCATCTTCTTCGATGTGCGCTCACATTGACAGTTTTGCGCTTGAGCGCTTCCAAGTGCTGTTTACTGTAACACATTGACGCCCTTTATTTAGTCACGAGGCGTTAAATGTCGACGAAAAACGCAAGCAAAAAACGTTACGATGTGCGCAGGTCTTCATGCTTGTTTTTTATTTTTTTATTTGACGTGCCGCGTTAAAACCTTCTCCGCCAATCAGGTTGGCACTTTTGTTCACATGCACAGAGCTGCTGAAGTCACAGTTAACAGCATTTGGAGGCGATCAAGTGCAAAACTGTCAATGTGAGCGCACATTAAAGAAGATGCTCAGAGGCGATATAAACGTGGAGCTGCTTATTGCTCTTGTGAACAATAATCATTTCTTCATCGCTAGAGCTGGAGCTGCTACTTGAACCATCTATCCTTGTTCGAGTCACCAGTAACTTTAACAACAAGCATGTGAACTTCCTCTCCTCCTCTTCTTTTGTGTTACAAGCGGGTGTCGGTAGCTTAAAGTTGTGTAGCGCCATCTAACGTCAAAGAGGGATTTTGCGTAGTCTTCTGCTTGACGCCAGTGAATATCGCTTGGGTTTGAATGCGGAAACACGTCTTGTAAAATGTTGACGATAAACACAAATGAAAAGCATCCCGGTGTGTAGGAGCCTTTAGAAACAGATAATGGGACAAATGTTTGGAACAAATAATTAAGATTATTCTTACTCTATTTAAATGTAAATAATAATTTTTTATGAATTAAATATAGTTAAAACTATTAATAGTTACAATTTCCTACAACATAAATATATGCATTTGTGCCATTTTTTAAAACAACTTTTGATAAGGATAAAGAAATCCTGTATTATCATTTAAAGGGACAGTAATTTGTTTTGTTTAATCAAAACAAGTTTATAATGATATTAGAGATACAATTATTGATTAATATACCTTAAATTCAATAATTGTTCAATATAAATTAATTAATAATACATCCCTCTCAGTGGTGTCTTTGTTTTGAGCATATAAAACAGCTTTCAAGTAAAATTACACAAATCCATTTATATTTTGTCTTTCGTATCATTCATTTTCTTAATGCCCAATACACTTGAGGTGAAATAGGATTGGGATCGGTTTTATGCAGACCTGTTTTTATCATCTACAGCTCGTCTCCTGGTTGTAGATGAAGCAGATTCTTCATGTTGCAGTTTTAGGTCTGAATCTGAAGACTGATCCAGTTTCTCTGTCCTAAAGCACACTGAGGCCTGTTTCAGTGCTCCAATCAGAGCGTTTCTCTGAACCACCTGACACATCAGAACCACCCGCAGGTTCTCCACACTGGCCTCATTCATCAGCTGAAGAGACACAAGCAGGTAATAAAAGAAAGCATGTGCATAACGAAAACACCACCCTGATCCATACTTACAGAAACCTAATTATTTTTATAATTACACTTCTAATCTATATAAATTCCAATAATCATAACTGCTTTGTTCTTCATGAAATTCCTCACAATATATGGCATTTTGTGGCCTTTTTAAAAAGATGGAGAAATATTAATCACTTGTAGGGATGCTACAATTAAAAATAAAAATAAAAAAACACAAAAGAAGTTATTTCGAAGAATGTTGGAAAGCACACAGTTGTTGGTCCCCTTTTGACTGAAATGGTATTTTTAGTCACTTACTATGAAAGTCAGTGAGGACCATGCATTTTTTTGGTTTCCAACATTCTTCAGAATATTTTCTTTTGGTTTTAGCAGAAAAAAGAAACTCATGCAAGTTTAGAAACAAAATTTTGCTTTGTTTTGTTTGAAACATCATCAGATTTTCTTCCCAGACACAGACCTGTGTTGTCAATCATTGTGTAATTACCTGTAAAACTGCTTCTTTCGATCGAAAGCTGAATTTGCAGATATGATTTTCATCAAGTTCCTGAACAGCAAGAGGAAGACTGTTTGGGATAAACCTAGAAAAAAAGAAAGAAGCCAAAATCAACAAGAATGTATTTTCCAACTGTTCAAGAAAACTTAAAGGTCCTGTGAAGTGCTTTGAAAAAAATTGTATTCGATGTTTGAGTGATTGAGCTCAAGTACCTCAAATGAACAGCTTTTGATTATGCTACCTCATTTTGGTATAGTAGCTGCTCACAGAATATGAAGGAAAAATAGCAAAAGGCACAAAATAAATTAGTACGAATAATTAAAAAATATTTCCTAGAGCACATTTACACAAAGTTTTTAAAGAATTAGGTATGTTAACAGTAAAAGCGTGAAAAGTGTAAAAGTGAACGGCTCCTAAATCTTGTTAAATACTCATCCTGGACTTGAAAACAACTACTGATTACAGCATTGAGGCTGCAAAACACCTACTGTAGTTGGTTGGTTTTAAAGGTTCCATGAAATTAAGATAAAGTTTTTTTGTAGACATTAGTATCAGTATGTTAGTTTTAAGGATCTCTATAAGCTAGTGTGCTCCTAAAGCAGTGACAAAATTCGCATTTAGAAGACATAAACTGATATAAACCAAGGCATCTTCAAGCGAAGTCATTTCACTTGGCGGCCATCTTTGAAACGCCAAAGTGTGCTTGGGCAGTCTGTTTAAATGGGGATTCATCAAATTCTCCAAAACTACTTGCCAAGCTTATGATTACATTTCATATTGTGAATAACTAATGAAATTAAACAACTGTCTTTTTAGTTTCATTCCTAAATATTCCTATCACACAAAATCTGCAGAAACTCACTTCTGGTAGGAGCTCCTCTCCCAGAGAATTGTCATTCCATAGCGATCACTGATTGGCTCCTGTAGAAGGCGGGGTTTATTCACCATATAGCGACCACTGATTGGCTCCTGTACTAAAAGGCGAGGCTTCATTCGCCATATTGACAGTTACACTTTTCCCCATTCAAAACTATACGAGTGACATGTCTTGTGTATTATATAGTCTTTGTATGAACATAACATTTCTCAATAAATCTTGACCAATCAAATGCTCTCTAGTATCTGACATGCTCCGCCCCCTTCAAGATGCTTCTTATTTGCCTGTTATTTCACGTGCTTGAGCTCAACCACTCTCACTAGCAGAGCTGTGATAACAACAAAACGCAACTGGCTGTTTTTTTTTAAAAGGGGAGGAGCTACTATACCATACTATCGATAACATCAAACATCAAATATAAAATGCACATTTCAAAAAACATCACGGGGCCGTACATACTCATCTTGGACTTCAAATCAAGCATTGATTACAGCATTGTGGCTGCAAAATATACCTAGTTTGTGGGTTTTAAAGCATGCAAGTAGAGTCTGAAACCCAGTGTTTCACCTGTCAGCCTCCTGTCTGTTGTCCTGGAGGGCCGTGAGGAACACTGGAAGCTGTTTTGGAGTCTCTTTCCTCACTGCAAACTCAAACTGAACCAGACGCATGTATAGATGAACTTCATCAAAACCTATCACTCTGGACAGTGATTTATATAATCTAGAATAACAGAAGGAACAAGACATCCAGTCTAGCTATAGTCACATTATTTACATGCTGTTTAGCTACCAACATGCTCAAGAAACAACAATTGAGCGATTTCATGAAACAGTGCATTTAAATATGATGAACTGATTCTTGGGTGGCACGGTGGCTCAGTGGTTGGCACGGTTGCCTTACAGCAAGAAGGTCGCTGGTTTGAGTCCTGAGTGGGTCAGTTGGCATTTCTGTGTGAAGTTTGCATGTTCTCCCTGTGTTGGTCCCTGTGTAGCTGGGACTCGAACCAGCAACCTTCTTACTGTGCGGTGACAGTGCTAACCACTGAGCCACCTCTATATTTTATATTCTAAATTCTACATTGCTCAGCAGTCAGATACTCAACTGGGACAGATGTTCAGTCTCTGCCGCTGATTCAAAGATGCGATGCCGGAGCGTGACGAGCTCTAATAATGTGCAGAACGTCTCCAACATGAACATCTGTCTGTCTTTGCCTTGTTTTCTCTCCTGTTCATCTGCACATCTCACAATGTACAGTCCCAGATCTCTGACCAGAGCAGGATCCTCGATGAACACATCTAAGAACAACTGAAGCAACACACAACGTCAAAAAATAACTTATTACCTTATTAAGCTTATTTTACCACACTACAGTGTTGAAAATATCCATAAACTAGCAGTTTTCCGTATTGTGTGATTCATGTTTTTATTTCTCCCTGTTTATTTATGGTTTTGAATTGCATTATGGTATCTTGATCTCTTTCTTTCAACAACTTTTAGCCTTGAAAAGATCGAAGAAGTACTTTTATGAACATTTTTAATAGTTTAAAGGGTAACACTTTAGAATAACTATCCGTTATAATGAGTTAATAGACCATTAACAAACTTAGGTAACAAGTTATAAATGACTTGTTAAATAAAAGTTAATAGTTTGTTAATTATTTACTACTGTGCCTTATAGATGGCTAATAGATAACTTACAAGCTTTTAGTTAACAAGTTGTAAAAGACTTCTTAACTGTATTTTAATGATTTATAACTATACCTAATAAATTAGTAATAGATCATGAACAAGCAGTTAGTAAATAACTTAATAAAGACTTGTTAAGTATCAGTTAATAGTGTATATATGTTATTGGAGCGTTATTCTAGTTGCAGCTGTTTTTCATTTATTAACTGTTAGTGTTTGGGCACACGCTGATTTTCACAGAGGCAAAACAAACACAGACGCAGGGGAGAAAGACAGTGACTGTGTTTGTATGGACATCAGTAATCAAATTATTTGACAAATTATTATTTGTCGACTTTAACTGCAGTTTGGCACTTTCACTTTCATTTAGGAACATTTCATGCATGCCCCCTGTGACAAATGAGATTTTGGATGAGAGGAACTGCTGGAAGAGTGTAGTTTTAAAAGTGCTCCGACACTCCCACCTAAACAGAGATGGACACACCCACTTTCCCGACTTTTTCAAACTAGAGGTGTGAAAACACTGCTAAGACAGGGGGGTTTCTTGGCCCTTTAAATGCAAATGAGCTGCTGCTGCTTTACAGCTTGTGCTTCAGATACTATAATAAAAGCAAACAAAAAGTGTGCATGGGTTTTAAAGACTTACATACATTTCTCTGAATGCACAGACGTGAAGCATGAGCACAGAAAGACATACTAATTGAGTAAGTATTAAATTATGTTTTTGTTGACATCTACTGTCAAATACAAACAAGTAACGTATGCACAAAGAGAAACTGAATTTGTAATAATACACAGTTGTACCCCTATTACATTTAAAGAAAAAATGAGTTTTAGTTTTATATTCTGACTAAAATTACTAGCTTAACTACTAATTAATTCATAACAACTAATTAATATCATATTCATAACAACTAACAACTAATAAAAAAAAAAAAAAGGCACATACGTCTCTTTGGATCTGAGGACTGTAGGTTACACCCGGAGAAGTGAGTGTGTGCCAGTGATGCAGTGCTGTTTTCAGGAGCTTTTGCTCAAGTTTGACTCTCTGAGATGGTGCTTTCGCTCTGTGCAGCTCAAATAGTTCAGTACAGGCTCGTTCCAGACCCTCATACAGCTGACAGGCCAAACCTAATGAAGGATGAATCTCCAAAAAATACACACTCTTCAAGGCAGGCCTGCAATGATAGTACAAAGAGACCCTGTTAAATTTGTTTTTCATTTTGTGTTTCATGTCAATATTGCATTTATTATTTAAATACAGCAAAAACAGGAATATTGTGAAATTGTATGTCAAACTAAAGGGCGACTATGATGCAAAATCCACTTTTGGATGCTGTTTGGACTGAACTGTGTGTTGGTATAGTGTGTCCACAGTCATATTGGAGTGATCAGGGCCGAAGCAAGCTGAATTGCCGCTCTAGGCAAAGAACGGTCCCGCGGCCCTTAACCCTAAAGTGAAACGTGGATATAACTGAGGGCGCAGGCGGTGAGGGTAGTTTCGGGGATGCCACTCTCTCTATTCTGCCGCCCCAGACACGGATATAACCGAGGGTGCGGGTGGTGAGAGTAGTTCAGGGACGCCGCTCTCTCTATTCTGCTGCCCCAGACGTGGATATAACTGAGGGCGCGGGCGGTGAGGGTAGTGTCGCGGACACCGCTCTCTCTATTCTGCAGCCCCAGACGTGGATATAACTGAGGGCGCGGGCGGTGAGGGTAGTGTCGCGGACACCGCTCTCTCTATTCTGCCGCCCCAGACGTGGATATAACTGAGGGCGCGGGTGGTGAGGGTAGTGTCGCGGACACCGCTGTCTATTCTGCCGCCCCAGACGTGGATATAACCGAGTGCGCGGGTGGTGAGGGTAGTGTCGCGGACGCCGCTCTCTCTATTCTGCCGCCCCAGACGCGGATATAACTGGGGGCGCGGGTGGTGAGGGTAGTTTTGGGGACGCCGCTCTCTCTATTCTGCCGCCCCAGATGCGGATATAACTGAGGGCGCGGGTGGTGAGGGTAGTTTTGGGGACGCCGCTCTCTCTATTCTGCCGCCCCAGATGCGGATATAACTGAGGGCGCGGGTGGTGAGGGTAGTTTTGGGGACGCCGCTCTCTCTATTCTGCCGCCCCAGACGCGGATATAACTGAGGGCGCGGGTGGCGAGGGTAGTTTCGGGGACGTCGCCCTCTCTATTTTGCCGCCCTAGGTGGCGAACAACTTCGATGAATACACATATAGAGAAACACTTTCGCATGTGCTTGGGCAGTCTTTTTGAATGGGGACACATCAAATTCCTCTAAACTACTTGCCAAGCTTATGATTACATTTCATATTATGAATAACCAATGAAATTAAGCAACAACTGTCTATTTAGTTTCATTCCTAAATATTCCTATCACACAAAATCTGCCGAAAACTCACGTCTGGTAGGAGCCCCTCTCCCAGAGAATTGTAATTGCATAGCGATCACTAATTGGCTCCTGTACTAGAAGGCGGTATTTATTCACCATACAGCGATCACTGATTGGCTCCTGTACTAAAAGGCAGGGCTTCATTCGCCATATTGACAGTTACACTTTTCCCCATTCAAAACTATACGGGTGACATGTCACTCCCGGCCCTTGGAGTGATATAAACACAACAAGTCTCTTTTTAAAGTTTCCACACGTTAAAATAGGATTCAAATCCAAATCCTAAATAGTCAAATCAAATTTGAGGCTGACTGCAACATGATGTGGGAGTGTGGTTTCCCCATCCACCGAATTAATTGACAGGTGCATATTAACATATGTAACATAAAGTCCGAAGGTAAAATTCCATTGTAAACTCTAAAAGGGTCTACGAGAAAAGACTATTGATGTATGGGACTTTGTCAGAGCTCGACGGGAACTTCATCAGTACACAGTTCATGGATCAGTTTCTTACTCTATTTCACAAGTGTAAGTGCGATTAAAATTGTCGCCTCCTTGTGCTCTCTAGCTTGCAAATTATGCATTTAATTATGTTTAGTGACTTGTTAACGCCTGTACTGTATCTGGGTAACTACTATATTTTTTCTATTCTTTATATTCTCATATTATTTTATATACTATATATTTTATATTCAGTTTTGGGTGAACCTCATAGGCTAATCCTTTATGAAAACTAAGAGGGCACAAATTCTTTCAGAGGGAGCAATGAATTTCTGGTTCGCATGTAAAAGGGGCCGTGTGAAAGCAAATAATACCAAATATTTAAATACCACCAATAACACCAAACAAATCAACCTTATATTTGGTCGGGAGCAAAGCAAGTGAACGGTCTTTTCTGGTGTGATTTCTGCACACCCTTAGGCTTACCTGCTTCCTCCGATTGACACCAAGTGTTTAGGGATGTAGTTTGGAGGCAGGCCATATTCACTGGGAGAACCTTTCTGTCCATCTCTCCATATTCTCTGCAGATACTGCCTCTGCTCGTCAATCTAACATTCACAAAACATCAGAGAATAATATAATGTGGCAGCCCATTTTGGGTTGGGGTTGAACATGATTTAAGAGTTACCTGATTGTTCAGCACTAGTTTGATGAGCTGCTGGTGGCTTTGGAGACAGACAATTGAGTCTCTGTATGATTGAACAAAATATCCAGCGGTAAAATCCATCTGTGGTCGTCTGTGCATGATGTCTGTGATGACCTGAGCCAGTCTGAACTGCTCTTCTGGGTCTGTGACGTGCTGATATGCCTCTAGATAACAGTTCAAGAGCTGCAAACACAAGCAACAATAATCTTTCATTCATTTTCTTGTCGGCTTAGTCCCTTGATTAATCTAGGGTCGCCACAGCGGAATAAACCACCAACTTATCCAGCACGTTTTTACGCAGCAGATGCCCTTCCAGTCGCAACCCATCTCTGGGAAACATCCACACACACTCATACACTACAGACAATTTAGCCTACCCAATTCACCTGTACCACATGTCTTTGTATAGAGGGGGAAACCGGAGCACCCGGAGGAAACCCACTCCAACACGGTCGAGAACATACAAACTCCACAAAGAAAAATGCCAACTGGCCCAGCTGGGACTCGAACCAGCGACCTTCTTGCTGTGAGGCGACAGTGCTAACCACTGAGCCGCCATGCCGCTTTGTTTTAATTCGTAACAAATTATTCATTCAATTATTCATTTTCTTTTCAGCTTAGTCCCTTTATTAATCCGGGGTCGCCACAGCGGAATGAACCGCCAACTTATCTAGGATATCTTTTACGCAGCGGATGCCCTTCCAGCTGCAACCCATCTCTGGGAAACATCCATACAGACTCATTCACACTAATACACTATGGACAATTTAACCTACCCAATCCACCTGCACCACATGTCTTTGGACTGTTGGGGAAACCGGAGCACCCAGAAGAATCCCACGCAAACGCAGGGAGAACATGCAAACTCCACACAGAAACGCCAATTGACCCAGCCGTGGCTCAAACCAGCGACCTTCTTGCTGTGAGGCAACAGTGCTAGCCACTGAGCCACCACACCTCGCTTATATTTTCTATTTTCTAATGTAAGTTGTTCTTTTTATCAATGAAACCTGAAAAAAAACAGTTAAAACAAAAGTATTTAGCTGCTGATTTGCTATTAATCATTGATGATGATGATGATGATGATGATGATGATAATAATACTAATAATCATAGCCTGCTTCACAAATACAGTGCTCTAGGCGCAATAATGCGCAAGACGTGTTTGGTGCAATTTGTTGCTATTTTCAAACCAGCGCAACAGTTTTGCTTTACGTTGTTTAAAGTGGCATTTGTGCGCATTGGTGGACTCATGGGCATGCTGGTCTAAAATACAGGTGAAATAAGGCACATCGTTGGCACATTGCTATTTTGAGGAACTAAAATAGACTGCGCCATTGACCATCTAAAAGCTGCACTGAAGTCCAGCGCAGAGCGTGTTAGTTATGTACGTAAACCTTTACACATTGATTAATACACACAGGATGTACAGCCATACACAAATGTCTTTGATATGAAAACAATAAACGATTAATAGCTGAAAGCTGATTCGACCTGCTTTGACTGAACTCTTGGAATTTCTAGTTTATTTGATCCTAAAGATCTGAGTGATCTGTTAGGTTTGTATTCAGTGAGCTTATCTGTAATGTATTTAGGTCCTAGGCCATTTAGTGATTTATAGACCAGTAATAATACTTAAAACTCTATTCTGAATGTAACTGGCAGCCAGTGTAGAGACCTGAGGACAGGTGTGATGTGCTCTGATTTCCTGGTTCTGGTCAGAATCCTGGCCGCAGCGTTCTGGATGAGCTGCAACTGTCTGACTGTCTTTTTGGGAAGGCCCGTGAGGAGGGCGTTACAGTAATCCACCCTGCTGCTGATAAAAGCATAAACAAGTTTCTCTAAGTCTTCACTGGACACAAAGCATCTGATTCTTGTAATGTTTTTGAGATGGTAGTATGCTGATTTACAGACTGCTTTGACATGACTGTTGAAACTCAGATCTGACTCCAGAGTCACACCAAGATTCTTGACCTTATTTTTTGTTGTTTGACCTTTAGAGCCAAGGTACACATTTACCTTGAAAACCTCATCTCTGTTCTCAAACGCAATGACTTCAGTTCAGACTCTTTGTTTAACTGAGGAAAGTTTTGGCACATCCAGCTGTTAATTTTCATCATGCACTGGCAGAGGGTGTCAATGGGGCTGTAGTCAGTTAGGCTAAATAGATCCAAGTGTCATTAGCTGTGTTAGGAGATTTGGTTCTTTCTCATTATTTGGCTCACACGGAGCATATGAAGGTTGAACAGGAGAGGTGCCAGAATCGAGCCTTGTGGGACTCCACATGTCATGGGTGTCCACCTCGACCTACGGTTACCTATACTGACATAGTTACCACTCCTTTTAAGGTAAGATCTGAACCATTTGAGGACCGTCCCAGACAGGCCAAGCCAGTTTTCCAGCCTATCCGGAAGTATGCTGTGATCGACAGTGTCAAATGCGGCACTGAGATCGAGCAGTACTAGTACTGTTATTTTACCTGAATCTGTATTTAGGCGTATATCATTGATTATCTTTATAAGAGCGCTCTCTGTACTGTGATGTGCTCTGAAACCAGATTGAAAATTGTCTAAACACCCCTTGAACTTTAAAAACTTGTTAATCTGGTTAAAAACAACTTTTACAGTGATTTTGTCAATGAAAGGGAGATTTAAGATTGGTCTGTAATTGCTCAATAGGGTGTTATCCAGGTTGCTCTTCTTCAAGAGGGGTTTAACAACTGCAGTTTTAAGTGAGGTTGGAAAAATCCCTGATAGAAGTGAAGCATTTACCACTTTTAGAAGATCCATTTCTAAACAGGTAAACACCGTTTCGAAGAATGATGTGGGGAGCGTGTCAAGACTGCAGGTTGATGCTCTCATAGCTTGCACAGTCTCTTCTAAGATTTTACCGTTAATTGCCATGAAATCAGACATAATGTCTGATTTCTTAAGTTGTGGTTGAGCTTGTCTGACGTCGACACAACTTGGCTGATTGGATGAGCTGATTGCCTTTCTGATATTATTGATCTTATCAGTAAAGAAATGAGCAAAGTTTCTTATTGTCAGTTAAATGTCTGTTGAAGGAGCATATCAACAGATATTATGCAAACAGTCTACTAATGCTTACTGTAAATGGACCATTAAACAAATCTCCATTTTTGATAAAATAAAGCAGCTTTTGGTGAGCTTCTTTTTAAATAAGCAATAAACAATCTCTAAACTGAAGTGTAAAATTGCATCATGTACCTGTATTTTGTGCTCCAGAAAATCTGCTTCGCATGTCCATAGGTCTAAAAGCACAGCTATCCGATCCACATCCGTCCTTGCCAGACGCTGAAGCTCTTCTTCAGATCCACAAGAAGTATGCAAGTCTGACCAAAAAAAGAGAAATGACATAAATGTGAAAGACTGCAAGCTGAAGATGTTTTTTCACTGCTGAATTTTGGCAATAGCATGTAAAATACTAGCAAAACTGTTTTCTTGCTAAGCCAATTTCTTTGGTTAAACTGTTTTTGACACCACAGCAATTTTTTATTTATTTACTTATTTTTAGCGATAACCTACGGACAAAAGGTCAACCAGGTGAGTACTCTGCCTGTTAAAATACACTTTATTACTTTAAAAAAAAAATTCTTTATGACGGTGAATGTGTTTTGAACAGTTTTTGTGAGTTAAAGCTATGTTTTTCTTTATGTTTTGCTTGCTTCGCCTTTCAATCTATTTAAGTGAACTGTTTTTCCATAAACCGTTTCTAAACATGCGTGTGTATGTGGTTTATACAATATATTGTACGTCTAGTTTTTACATTTAATGCAAATGTATCTTGATTTGATCATTTCTTGATATATTAGTAAGAAAATAATGACATGATTTAAAGTGAACCTCAGATTTTTTAGTGTGTTTTACACATAACCATATACTCAAAAATATATATGGCTGTTTGTTCAAAGTACTTATTTAAAATGAGACAAAACAAAAAAAAAATTTGAGGGTTTTTGGGACAACTTAATTATTTTATTTTTAAATATTTTAAGACAATTAAGTTAACAAAAATCCTTCATATTGTCTCAACACAAATCGATTAAGTGGAACCCAGCATTTATTTTTACAGTTTTACAGTGTATGTGTATTAGATTGATAAAAAAATTAAATTAAACTTAAGATTAGACTTTAAAATCTGTATAAACTGAGAAGACTTTAAATCACAGTAAGCAATGCACAAGCTGTAAAAACTCCACTCCCTACTGGAAAAGAGATGACAATCAGCAGCTCATTTACATGAAACGAATTACCTTGCAGGACCATGGTGCTACATAAATAAACATAAATATGCAAAACAAGACATAAGAGCTACTTTAAACCTATACATAACTAACATAGATCTAACTAAACTAATCACTAATTACCGCAGCTCTGCTCTTTTTATCTATTTTCTCGTAGCCTCGTGAGCTGGTTGCAGCCTGCAGGTTAATGATGATATAACTAGATAAGTCACCTTTCACCGTACAGCTGTTGTGGTACAGTGGTTAGTACGATTGGATAATGACGCGGCCAACCTGGGTTCGGTCCTTGTATGAGTAACAATATTTTTCTTTTTTCATTTTTATTGTTAAGACATAATACTGTAATGGTTGTTGAACATTTGAAGTTCTAAAATAGCTGTTTTCTCAAAAAAAAAAGACGTGATAGTGTAATTAGAAACTGAATTGGAAATAACCTTATTTTAATATAGTCAGTGGTGAACTGAGGTGGGACGGTCTGAGGCTTGAAACTCCAGGGCTGAAAAAGAGTCCCACTCCGGCCCTGTCACTCAGTGTGTACGAATTTGATTTGACAAAAAACACCACCAAGTCAGGCGTGAAAACATCTTATAATGTGTACATGTGATTATTTCTGTTGAGAGA